AAGGCAGATAGACAGAAACAGAAAGAAAGAGATCTTACATCCACTGATTCACTCCACAAATGGCTCCAACAACCCAGCTGGGGCTGGGTCATACTGAAGCCATGAGCCAGGAACTCCATCTGGGTCTTCCCACAGGTGTCATGGGCCCAAGTACTTAGATCATCTTCCACTGGTTAAGTACCCAGTTCCAATTCCTGACTCCAGCTTACTGCTAATGCAGACCCATGAAGGCAGTGGTGAAAGCTCAGGTAATTGGATTCCTGACACCTACATGGGAGACCTGGACTGAGTTCCAGCTCCCAGTTTTTGCCCCTCACCCCCCACCTCTATAACCCAAGGCCATTGCAGGCATTTGGAGAGTGAACCAGTGGACAAACAGGAGTTTTTTCTCTCTCTGCCTCTCTAATTAAATAATTTAAAAAAGAAAAAGAGAAAAGAATCTGCTGGCATTGTGGTGCAGTGGGTTATGCCACCACTCTCAATGCCAGCATCTCAAATCAGAGTGCAGAGTGCTCTGCTTCAGATCCAACTCCTTGCTAATGTACCTGGGAAGGCAGCAGATGGCTCAAGTACTTCGGCCCATCACCCAGATGGAGTTCCTGACTCCTGGTTTCAGTCTGGCCCAGCCCTGACTGTCACAGACATTTGAAGAGTAAACCAGCAGAAAGAAGATCTCTTTCTCTTTGTCACTCTTTCAAATAAATAAATAAATCTTAAAAAAAAAAAAAAAAAAACTAACCAAGTTCCTGGCACATGACAACCACTTAGTAAACAGTAAAAAATATTACAAGCTCTAGTTCTTAATACAATGTTTAGAATCTTAAAATTTTTGCAGACAGGGTATATTTGTGGAACAAAATGAGCTGTACCTGCACAGCCCCTTATGGTTCTACAAGTAGAGAATTTGGAGAATTCCCTAGTCTGCCCATAAGCAGAGCTGAAGGCCCTGCCCTTGTTGATTACTGCTGTGGTTTGTACTGCATTCACCGTGTATGTACCCTTGCTTTCATCTTCCAATCTGTCCCCTCTTTGAGGTTTTATGCTCTTTGGAGTTGGTGATGTAGCTCATTTTTGACACTGAGTTAAAAAGATAAATATTTGTTCAACAAAAATGCCCTCCCCCACTCCCCAGGGGTGGGCCTTTAGCACAGCAGTTAAGACACTACTTGGGATGTTTGTATTCCCTATTGGAGTGTCAGGGTTCAAGTCATGGCCCTGCTTCTGATTCCAGCTTCCTGCTAATGTGCTCCCTGGGAGGCAGCAGGTGATGGCTCAAGTGGTTGGGTTCTTGTCACTCATGTGAGAAGCACAGATTGAGTTCTGGGGCGCTGACTTTAGCCTGGCTCAGCCCTGGCTACTGCAGGCATTTGGGGAATGAACTAGCAGATGGAAGATCTCTGTCTGTCTTCTAACTGTCCTTCAAATTAAAGACAATGAACAAAAGCCACAAAGTGGAAAAACTGCTAGCAGAGTTGATTCCTATAAGGAAGGATTCTAGCTTTTCCCTTTAACCAAATTGACTACATGAGACTCGACCGTGTTGACAGCACTGAGGCAAACACTAAACGAAGTGAGAATTAATACAGTTCACACCCTGTCGTGCCTTATTTAAATCACTACGATTATAAAAAACATTCCTGTCACCTGGCTCAATCCTGTTCCTGATGTTCTGCCGGAGGCTGCTCTGCAACCGATACTTCTCAGAGCGATTTCTTGGCACCCTGCTTAAGAACCTTAATTTTTGAATCAATAGAAAAGCATGAAGTTCTCATTTTAAGTTCTGATTTTTTGGGGTTTTTTGTGTGTGTGTGTGTGTGTGTGTGTGTGTGTGTGTGTGTTTGACAGGCAGAGTTAGACAGAGAGAGAGAGACAGAGAGAAAGGTCTTCCTTTTCCGTTGGTTCACCCTCCAATGGCTGCGATGGCCGGCGTGCTGCCAGGGGCGCTGCGCTGATCCGAAGCCAGGAGCCAGGCTCCTCCTCCTGGTTTCCCATGCGGGTGCAAAGCCCAAGCACTTGGGCCATCCTCCACTGCACTCCCGGGCCACAGCAGAGAGCTGGACTGGAAAAGGAGCAACTGGGACAGAACTGGCGCCCCGACCGGGACTAGAACCCAGGGTGCTGGCGCCGCAGGCGGAGGATTAACCAAGTGAGCCGCAGCGCTGGCCTTAAGTTCTGTTTTATTTCTTACAAATTCCTTATGTTGGCCGGCGCCGCGGCTCAATAGGCTAATCCTCCACCTAGCGGCGCCGGCACACCGGGTTCTAGTCCCGTTCAGGGCGCCAGATTCTGTCCCGGTTGCCCCTCTTCCAGGCCAGCTCTCTGCTGTGGCCAGGGAGTGCAGTGGAGGATGGCCCAAGTGCTTGGGCCCTGCACCCCAGGGGAGACCAGGAGAAACACCTGGCTCCTGCCATCGGATCAGCGCGGTGCGCCGGCCACAGCGCGCCAGCTGTGGCGGCCATTGGAGGGTGAACCAACGGCAAAAAGGAAGACCTTTCTCTCTGTCTCTCTCACTATCCACTCTGCCTGTCAAAAAAAAAAAAACAAAAAAAAACAAACAAACAAAAAAAAAACACCACAAATTCTTTATGTTGATATAATTGTCATTTTCCTTTACCCAATGGTATAAAAGCAGAATCCTTCAAACTTCTCATCTCCCTGCCCCACAGAGGTTATATAGACCTTCCCTGAGTGGTCAGGAAGACTGTGTAACAGCAGCAGCAAGAATAGCAAAGTCCAGAGCTCCTAATGGAGCTTTATACTCAACAATGGTAAGGATGACAAAATACAACAAAAACTATTTACTGGGGCTGGCCCTGTGGTGTAGTGGGCTAAGCCTCCGCCTGTGGCGCTGGCATTCCATATGGGCACCAGTTCTAGTCCTGGCTGCTCCTCTTCCAATCCAGCTCTCTGCTATGGCCTAGGGGCCTTGGGCCCTTGCATGCTCATGGGAGACCCAGATGAAGCTCCTGGCTTCTGATTGGCCCAGTTCCGGCTTTTGCGGCCATTTGGGGAGTGAACCAGAGGATGGAAGACCTCTCTCTGTCTGTCTGTAACTCTGTCTTTCAAAAAAACAAATCTTTAAAAAACGAATCATTAAAAAAAAAACTATGTATTCTTTGACAGGAAGTTTAGTACAACATGGGAAAACCCACAGCAGATACTTCCTAACAGACTTGCAATTGAATTCAGTCTACCTGACAATCACTACTGCCTTTCTGGTGAACATTCTCTTATCTTTCCTGTTCCCAAGGAAATGACCTCTGAGAGCTCTCATCTCTCTGTTTCACATACAAATGTTCTGTCTGAATCAGAGGCATTTCAGGGATACCTCTGTATGTCAAATGTTCACTTCATACCATCAAAAATGGGAGCAGTATTCGCATTCATAACCTGGGAAGCAAAGATTCCTTCTTAACATGTTAAGGGACTATCATCAAATTGTAGGAAGAACAATTGCTTTAACAGCCAGGAATAAAAGCTTCATGCATGGCCTCTGGGGGAGCAGACTTTGCTATTATACTGGGTCACACAAGTTAAATAATTAGTGCATCTGACCTCAGAATCAGCCCTTAAGACATCTGAATCTGGGGATCTGGCTAGAAAGCCCATGAGAGCATTTCAGGCATGGAAAGCCAAGACACTGTGGCAAAAAATGTTTTACATGAAGTACCTCTGTGAGTGAGACCCCAGTGGAAGGGCGGGGCCATCAAAGAAGGATGTACTTTTCTCTGAAGGGAGGAGCAGACTTCCACTTTGCTTATGGCCCTATCTAAATACAGATTCTGTGGACTCAAAAGGCTTCCATAGCCTTGGTAGCTCATGTCAAGAGCCTGGGGTGGGCCGGCGCTGCGGCTCACTAGGCTAATCCTCCGTCTTGCGGTGCCGGCACACCGGGTTCTAGTCCCGCTTGGGGCGCCGGATTCTGTCCCGGTTGCCCCTCTTCCAGGCCAGCCCTCTGCTGTGGCCAGGGAGTGCAGTGGAGGATGGCCCAGGTGCTTGGGCCCTGCACCCCATGGGAGACCAGGAAAAGCACCTGGCTCCTGGCTCCTGCCATCGGATCAGCGCGGTGCGCCGGCCGCAGCGCGCCAGCCACGGCGGCCATTGGAGGGTGAACCAACGGCAAAGGAAGACCTTTCTCTCTGTCTCTCTCTCTCACTGTCCACTCTGCCTGTCAAAAAATAAATAAATAAGGGCCGGCGCCGTGGCTCAATAGGCTAATCCTCCACCTTGCGGCGCCGGCACACCGGGTTCTAGTCCCGGTCGGGGCGCCGGATTCTGTCCCGGTTGCCCCTCTTCCAGGCCAGCCCTCTGCTGTGGCCAGGGAGTACAGTGGAGGATGGCCCAGGTGCTTGGGCCCTGCACCCCATGGGAGACCAGGAAAAGCACCTGAATCCTGGCTCCTGCCATCGGATCAGCGCGGTGCGCCGGCTGCAGCGGCGGCCATTGGAGGGTGAACCAACGGCAAAGGAAGACCTTTCTCTCTCTGTCTCTCTCTCTCACTGTCCACTCTGCCTGTCAAAAAAAAATAAAAATAAAAATAAATAAATAAATAAATAAAATAAAATAAAAAAGAAAGAGCCTGGGGTGATCACTGACATTATAAATAAAGAGTGTTAACTTTTAAATCAACAACAGGAGTCACTGTGCACTTACTCCCCATGTAGGACTTCTGTCCTTAATGAGTTGTACTATGAGAATTAACTGTAGAACTTGTTTTCAAACAGTACTTTATACTTTGCATGTGCGGGCGCAACCTGTTGAAAACTTTACTTAGTATAGAGTTGGTCTTCTGTATGTAAAGTTAATTTAAAACAAATCTTAATGAAGAATGGGATGGGACAGGGAATAGGAGGTAGGACGGGAGTAGGGGTATGAGGGCGGGTATGGGGGGGAAGAACCACTATATTCCTAAAGCTGTATCTATAAAATTTGTATTCATTAAATAAAAGCTTTCTTTAAAAAATTAGGCAAAAGAAAAATTAGTGCAACTACAGCCTTACCTGGAACTCTGGATCTCAAGAAATAGAGGAACTTCCCATTCTTGGAGTGCATAATGGCTCTTTTAATGAACTCTACCACGGACTGACAGCGATCCTCAAACTTGGGATGACACCACAGGCTGAAGGTTCCTGCCATGGAAAATTAAGGAGAAGCAAAAAGTTTAAAACTTCAGAAAGATCCTTAATACTGGCTTGAACATTTTAACAATGATTCTCTCTTTCAGGGGATTAGTCTGTGAGCAAGCTAGGTCAACGGTCCCTAAAGCCACCTGTTCCTGCTTAAAACTACAATTAATGAGAAAATGTTCCTTTTTCTAAGATATGTTAGGTCTTATGAGGTTTTGTTAAATAAATTCACATCAGAAAAAAAGGATATAAAAAGACTTTCTAAGTGTTAACACTAATTCTTAAATCAGTTTTCACACACACACTTCAAAGAGGTCATGAAAAATGGAATTAAAAGATAAGGTTATTGTGGTACAACAATTCTGAAAATCATGCATAGTTTTCTCATAATTCACACTTTCTTTTTTTCTTTTTTTTTTTTTTTTTAATTTGAAAGAGAGGAGGAGAGACAGAGAAAGAGATCTTCCATCTGTTGGTTCACTACTCAAATGGATGCAATGGGCAGGGCTGAGCAGATCTGAAGCCAGCAGCCAGGCACTTCATCTGGGTCTCTCACGTAGGTGGCAGGGACCCAAGCACTTGGGCCATCTTCCACTGCTTTCCCAGGCCATTAGCAGGGAGCTGGTTTGGAAGTGGAGCAGCAGGGACTTAAACAGGTATCCATGTGCAGGCAGAGGTTTAACCTGCTACACCACCATGCTGGCCCCTCTATGAACTTACTGAAGGTCTCTCATGTATGTGTGTGTATGTACTTTTTTTTTTAAGATTTATTTATTTGAAAGGCAGAGTTACAGAGAGGCAGAGGGAGAAAGAAGAAAAGAGGAAGAGGGAGGAAGAGAGAAAGAGAGAGGGAGAGGGAGAGAGACAGGTCTTCCATCCACTGGCCCACTCCTGAGATGGCCACAATGGCTGAAACTGCACCAGTCCGAAGGCAGGAGCCAGGAGCTTCTTCCAGGTCTCCCACTTGGGTGCAGGGGCCCAAGGACCTGGGCCATCCTCCACTACCCTCCTAGGCCACAGCAAAGAGCTGGATGGGAAGTAGAGCAGCCAAGACTCAAACCGGCACCCATATGGGATGCCAGCACTACGGGCGGCAGCTTTACCTGCTACGCCATAGCGCTGGCCCCTGTGTATATACTTCCTATAAAAAGCATAGCAAGTTTAATGACATTCCCTTAAGAAGATCTAAGGGAACAGTCCAGGAACGACAGAAACAGCAGTTTTGTGAGTCTCATTTATTCGTATTTGTGTTAGCCAGAGAAGATCAAGATCTGAGTCTGTCCTCTAACTTCTAAAATCCCACGATCCAACATGTTCCAAAGGCAAAAAAGGAACTTGAACTTCCATGAGTTAAAAAACAACAACAAATTCTAAAAACTAAAGTCCTAGGATCCAAAGGAATCACCCATAAAATGGACTCAGCAAAGGGCTACTAATCTACACTCAGGAAAAGTGCAGATCTGGGTCTATCTAGTTACTCTTACAGTTGCACTTAAAAAGATGAAGACAAATGTTCCATCGCAAACTGGGAACTGAAAGACCCGCAAGGCTTCTGTTATGAATTCCATTTATTCAAGGAAGAGAAGTTCCTTTGCACCAAAAGAAATTGGAGAACAGTCTGCAAGAGCTCTCATTCCTGGCATCTCACTTGTCAGGAACCCAAAGGTCAGGCATTTACTCATCACCCCCTTGGCCTAGTCATGCTTCATTTTAATAGGTTTAACAAAGCGCTGTACTCTGAAATGTTTTATTTAAATTATGATGGGTTTTGTTTTTGTCTGTTTTTTAGGAACATCAGGAAAATAGACAGCAGTCTCTCCCACAGTTACCTAATCCATTTTCAGGTCCTTGAAGTTTCTTTCTCTTCATGCGTATCCAAGGTAGAGGTGGGGACAGAGGAAACCATGCTATGCTGAGCTAAACACTACTTCCTGCCTCACAAGAGAAACAGATACAAATAAATCCAACAGAACAAGGGTAAGAGTGGAGACGACACCAGCGTGCCTTAAAGGAGCATGATATAAGCTCTTACTTGAATGTCCAGTAGACGCTCATTTAAGGTTGGTCATGTAGGAAGACTGAGAATTAGGAGGAGAACTTTGAAACTCCCCCCAAACTGTCTATACTTTTCACCTGTAGCATACACAGATTTTTTTAAGGATTTATTTGTTTATTTGAAAGGCAGAGTTACAGGAGGCAGAGGCAGAAAGAGGTCTTCCATCAGCTGGTTTATTCCCCAGATGGCTGCAATGGCCGAAGGTAAACCAATCCAAAATCAGGAGCCAGGAGCTTCTTCTGGGTCTCCCACATAGATGCAGGGGCCCAAGCACTTGGGCTAATCTCTACTGCTCTCCCAGGCCACAACAGAGAGCTGGATCAAAGTAGAGCAGCTAGGACTCGAACCGGCACCATATGGGATGCCAGCACTGCAGGCAGCAGCTTTACCTACTACGCCACGGCGCTGGCCCTGTACACAGATATTTTGACAAAGAATGTATTATCAGGAGCCAGCATTTGGCCTGGCAGTTAAAACACCCACATCCCACATCAGAGGCCTTGGGTTGAATTCTGGTTCCAGCTTCCTGCTAATGCAGACCCTGGGAGGCCGTGGTGATGGCTCGATTGAGTTCCTGCTACCCACAAACCTGGGAGACCAGGACTGAAGTCCCAGTTTCGGCTCTGGCCCAGCCCCAGCCATTTCAGGTATTTGAAGGAATGAACAGACACAAGCTCTATCTATCTTAGTCCATCTTTGTGTTTCTCTCTCTCTTCCTCTCACCACTAATGGCAATCACAAGTTTCTGGTCAAAGTCAGACACAGAATGCCCATATACAGTCAATCCAGAGAGCTGAGTTTCTCTTCTTTCTTTCTTTTTTTTAAGATTTATTTATTTATTTTTGAAAGTCAGAGTTACACAGAGAGAGAAGGAAAGGCAGAGAGAGAGAGAGAGAGAGAGAGAGAGAGAGAGGTCTTCCATCCATTGGTTCACTCCCCAGTTGGTTGCAACAGCCGGAGCTGCACCTATCTGAAGCCAGGAGCCAGGAGATTCTTCCAGGTCTCCCACTTGGATGCAGTGGTCCAAGGACTTAGGCCATCTTCCACTGCATTCCCAGGCCAAAGCAGAGAGCTGAATCAGAAGTGGAGCAGCCGGGATTCGAACCGGTGCCCATATGGGATACTGGCACTGGAGGCAGCAGCTTTACCCACTACGCCATAGCACTGGCCCCAAGAGAGCTAAGTTTCAAAAGTCAGCTTCTAGACATGACTGGAACATGAAGCACCACCTGACTGCAAAGCAAAAGGTGCCACCGGTAGAATGGCAGATAGTCTATGGCACATTGATCTCTCAAATTCTAGCTTTCAGGGCCAGCGCTGTGGAGTAGTGGGCTAGGCCTCCACCCGTGGCATCGGCATCCTATATGGGCACCGGTTCGAGTCCTGGCTGCTACACTTCCGATCCAGCTCTCTGCTATGGCCTGGAAAGCAGCGGAAGATAGCCCAAATGCTTGGGCCCCTGCACCCATGTGGGAGACCCAGAAGAAGCTCTTGGCTCCTGGCTTTGGATTGGCCCAGCTTCAGATCGGCCCAGCTCCAGCCATTTCAGCTATCTGGGGAGTGAATGAGCCGATGGAAGACCTTTCTCTTGTCTCTCCCTCTCTCTGTAATTCTACACCTCAAATAAATAAAATCTTAAAAAACAAAACAAAAAAAAACCTCTAAGCGTTCCAATAAATATTTCCTAAGAGACTACAAACCTGACCATAAGAAGAAGCGATCACCACCATGCGCCTGACAGGAAGTAACTACAAGGTAAAGATGTGACTATCAGGCAAGGTAATCAGGACAGAACAGCCACAGAATCAACACTGGAGTCTCCTTGTATATGCAACTTAACAGAAAGTCCCTAAATGATAAGGTTAATTACGAAAAATGCTCAGGAGACTAATATCTTCCTTTTACCAAAAGTTTCCCTGGGAGCTAGCATTTGGTACAGCGGTTAAGTCACCACTTGGGATGCCCTCATCCAATATAAGAATGCCTGGCTGGAGTCCTGTACTCCGCTAATATGTATCCTAGGAAGTAACAGATGAACAGATGAGAGTTCACGCAAATGTCTGGGTCCCTGCTGTCCACATGTTGGAAACCTGGATTAAGCTCTGGGTGCCTGGTTTCAGCCTGACTCAGCCCTGGATGTTGCAGATATTTGGGGAAAGAACCAGCACTCCCTCCCTCCACCTGTTTCTCTCTACCGTTCAAAGAAACTGGCTCTGTTCTTGGAAATCTAATGGTTTTGTTCCTCCTATCTGGAGGAACAAAAAAAAAGTTGCTGAAAGAACTTTTAAATGGATCTTCTTCTCCCTTCCCTATCCCCTCCAACATTCTTTCTGGTGACGGAAACCAGGGCCCAGAACAACACTGAATTGAGTCTGTGAGAGCTTTCTCACTATTTATAGTCTCATCCCCATGACTCCTCATGAAGGAGTCAGACAGCAAAGGCAGGGAAAACAAAAAGGGAAGCAGGCTCTCTTAAAGCCCCCGCATTCTGGGACCCGTATGGACACTGGTTCAAGACCCGGCTCTCCACTGTTGATCCAGTTTCCTGCTAATGTGCCTGGGAAAGCAACGGAGGATGGCCCAAGTGCTTGGGTCCTTGCACCCACGTGGGAGACCTGGAAGAAGCTCTTGGCTCCTGGCTTTGGCCAGGCCCACTCCTGCTCATTGCGGCCTCTTGGGGAGTGAACCAATGGATGGAAGATCTCTCTGTCTCTTCTCTCTGTGTAACTCTAACTTTCCAATAAATAAATAAATAAATATTTAAAAAAAAAAAAACCCACACTCTTACCTCTGTAGTGCTCCATCCTAGTGTGGTGGGTGATACCCTGTGATCGGAAACTGAGGCTCAGGATGTAGCGAGGGTCAGAACTGTCTCGTACCAAGAAAGAACCATCTGGCTTTCCTTTCAGCTTCATCTCGGCATCTTCCCAGTTCATTGGCCCCCAATACCAACCACACTATCAAAGGCAAGAAGCAGTCAAGTAGTTAACAGAAAAATGACATAGTTGTCAGCAATCTATCTTATCAAGGAAGTAGCTCTCACCCCCATTCTCCAAAGTATTTCAATAGGTGAAAGCCGCTATACATGTGTAAACCATTAAGAGTGAACATCAGGCTCATCAAGCTTCTAGTCCCCCAAAGTACCAGGAGAGTAATTTACAATTCTACTACCAAGGACCCAACAAAGGAGAGGAGAGGGAACTGGGTCAGTTAATCTATCAAAACCAGGTTAGGCTATGTAAACACTTCTCCACATTCTCCCTTTTTCATGTTCGAATCTTTCCCCCAATTCAATTTTGTTACTTCTTTTATGTAGTAACAGTATATTATTTTTGTCACTATCAACAGGGTGGCAAGAAAACTCCTCTTCCTCTTGAGAGCCTGGGTAGGGCAGTGGGGATGTGGGAGGGAGTGTGCTGTCAGTCTTCAGCACCACCTACCTTCTCTAGCTCTCGAAGACTGGCTGCAAAGCTGCTCGAGTCAGGCCGGTAGAGGGGACACTGGAGGTGCTGGGGGGGCTGGCTGTGCAGGGATTCAGCTGCTCGAATGGGAGCAACCCGGGGAAATGCATCTGCAGAGCAACAGAGTGGTGGTCACTGTTTACCTGTGCGACACCCAACCACAACAGACCCTCCCACCCCCCAAAAAAATGCTAACTGAAGAGGGACAAAGCATTAGAAGCTAAGCTGGAAAGGGTGGAAGCCAAAGCAGTGGGGAAGAGCTGGATGGGCTGGAACAAAAAGCTGTGTGGGCTTGTGTAAGCTGTGAAGGATGGGTGGGGGCACTGAACCCCAGGAAAGGGGTGGGGAGCTGCTCACTAACCTGACTAAGGTGACTACTTCAGAGGCTTCACCAGCCTAGAGCGATTCCAACTTCTCCCACCTCGAAGTGAAGTGCCGACAAAGCAGCCTTGGAAATAGTGACTCTCTTACTTGCCCAGGAAGAGTAACGATTTTGCCAGGCAAGTAGAAAAGAATGTCGATTTCATTCATTTCATTCCTTGGGTACAGCAGGCTGGCAAAGCAGGTGTGGGCTACTAAATGCTTGGTACTTATTTACAAGGCTGCAGTAAATACCAGAGCTTAAAAAAACCACAGAACTTTGAAAATCAGCAACATATTAAATCTTCACTATCCTGAAATTAAGATTATTTCTTAAGTGGCATCTACCCAAGGAGTGCAAAGTTTCAGCAGCAAAGAAATGAAAAATTCAAGTATTTTGTCCCCAATAAAACTCAGATTCACATCCATTAAAAAAAAAAAAGAGGGGCAAGGGGACTCAGAAACTCCAGTTCTCAGCCTATTTCCAAGAAGTTCTGGTCCAGCCAAGGGGAAACATTTAAGCTTTCTCCTAAGTTGTTCTTTCCATAAACAAATTTCTCCCATCCTTCAACTCTCACAAGTCTTGCCGCTGAACTAAGCTAACCTGGGGCATGGGGTGGAGGAGGCGGAGGAAGGGGGAAAGACTGCAAGGAAGACCCCATCGGAGCCACAAGGACAGATGTAGGCAGCGTCCCACTGATATCATCTAGAAGAGAGAAAAAAGCAAGAGGTTCAGAAACACGAGCACAGAATGAGCGAGGTGGAGGCAGGAGAGGGAGGAGGACTGTAAGGCTGTGTCTGGGGCCTGCCTTTAATCCCACCTTTTTGCAAGAGGGCAACCATCATCTTACTCTGGTTGGCTTTGCTTAGAAAGCAGAAGAGGAAGAATATTCCTAAAGCATGCCAATAATAGCAGCAGATTGAGGGCAGGTAAATGTCAATCTAACATACGGGCAGTAAATATTACAACGTGCAGATAACAGCCCGGTTTAACTATCTAGGGAGATGACAGGGGTGCTGAGAAAGTGACAGGAAATCATAGGGTCATCATTAAAACCAATAAACTTGCTTGACCCTTGGCAAAAAACAAGTCTCTAGAGCTCACCCTCCCTCTAGGGCAAAAAGGCACACAGAGGACGGGACTATACCTAGGAGGCTGAGGCTTCTTCTCGGAGGAGGAGGGGGAGTTGGAGGGTGTGGAGAGGTCAGGCCCCGCTGAGAAATGTCCACGTCCACAAGCGACACTGTTTCACCTGAGGGATTCACGGAGCAAGCAGGTTACAGAGGCACCTTGCCCCAAGCTGGAGCCAGAAGCAAAGGGAAGCAAAGGGCAAGCAAGGGAAGCTAGAGGTCCGCAGGTCTCAACAAGTGCAAAACCAAATGCTCCCCAGGGCTGAAATCACCCTCAAGGCCAGTCAGTTTAGAATTCTATCATTCCTCTGCCCTGCTAAGGGTCAAGTGTTCTTTAGGACAATAACATGACAGTGGAAAAGCCATCTAGTTAATGCTAGTTCTTCACTGACATAGAACATAATCTTCTTTATCAAATGAAAATATTTGTAAAGAATGAAACACTTTAAAAACTTGTATATCAATTTCTGCCTTAGGGAGTAGGGCAAGTTATGCCAAACAGACATGGAAAAATCAAGAACCTCAAAATTTTAAGAACTGCACGGTAAGCTGAGTGCAGATACAGGCCCCAATGCTAGCCTTAATTCCTCCTAGATGGCTTTCCACATCTAGATTTTCCAGAGTACTCACCCATCAGAGAATCTACTATTTAAGTAAGAGATCAGTTAGCTCCTAATACCTAAGGCTACTACTAAGGCTGAAGATCTATTTACAATCCCAAAAAGTAACTACTCCCAGTTAGCCAAAAGCCAGGTAAGCTAGTTTTCCAGTAAGAACTGGGCAGGGGCAGCACATGATTTCTCCCACTTTGCAGTATGTCATCCAGCCCTTTCTCTGCATATATATTACTCCTTGCATTCAATCCCTCTCCACCCCAGTCACTTCAGGAAGGAGTGCATTTCTTCTTCTTTTTAAGATTTTAATTATTTGAAAGGCAGAGTTACAGAGGGAGAAACACAGAGCACCATCTTCTGTTCACTGGATCACTCCTCAAATGGTTGGGCCAAAGCCAGGAGCTCCATCCAGGTCTCGCAAGTGGGCAGAAAGGACCCGAGCACTCGGGCCATCCTGTGCTTCCTTAACAGGCACATTAGCAGCAAGCTGAATCACAAGTTAAGCACCTAAGACTTGAACTTGTGCCCATATGGGATGCCGGCACTGCAGGCAGCAGCCCAACCAGCTGCGCCACAATGCCAACTCCTGAAGTGTATTTCATTAACATAGGTTGACAGCCACAAATAAGTTTGCTTGGTGAAGGTCAGGACCCAGGATCTCTCTAATTTAACGCACAAGGTGTAATTTCTAACACCCTTTCCTTATTCAGGGCTGAACTAGTCCCTCAGCTAGTATTTTAATATTTCCCAGTGGGGCCAACATTGTGGTATAGTAGGTTAAGCCTCCACTCTCGGCGCCAGCATCCCATATAGGCACTGGTTCACGTCCCTGCTGCTCTTCTTTAGATCCAACTCCTTCTATGGCCTGGGAAAGCAGTGGAAAATGGCCCAAGTGCTTGGGCCCCTGCACCCACATGGGATACCCAGAAGTAGCTCCTGGCTCCTGGCTTCAGATTGGCCCAGCTCCGGCCATTGTGGCCATTTGGGAAGTGAACCAGCAGATGGAAGACCTTTCTCTGTCTCTCCCTCTCTGTAATTCTACCCATCAAATAAACAAAATCTTTAAAATATATATTTCCAGTTAAGAAAATGAGGTGACCAGTATCACTAAAAGTCCAGGAACTGGGTTTTCAGAATCTAAATACACAGTTTGTTTTACAAAGGTCTTGATTACTAGGATTAAAAAGACATGCTGCCTACAGGGTAAGACTCAGGTATGGGCCTAGGGTAAAAACAGACACCACTGCACCCTCCTCCCGACACCTTCTCCACTAGACGTCTACACAGGTATCATCATTTGTTTGGACAGTTCACAACAGTCTATCCAACTGGCAGGTCCCACTGGCCTGCTTAACATCCTCCTGGAAATGCCTGTTACCAAATCATCATTCTTCCAATCACCTTTTTGAGGGTCACAATAGCCAAAGGAATTTAACACTGAAATTTTTTGGTGAAGATTTATTTATTTGAAAGACAGAGTCACACAGAAGAGAGAGAAAGACAGACCCTCCATCCCTTGGTTCCCTTTCCAAATGGCAGCAGGCCGAAGCCAGAACTCCATCCTGGTGTGCCACACGGTGGCAGGGACCTAAGCAGTTGGGCTATCTTCTGCTGCCTTCCCAGGTGCATTAGTAGGAAGCTGGATGGAAAGGGGAGCAGCCAGGACTTGAAATGGCACTCCAAGATGGAGTTTCAGTGTTCCAAGCAGCAGCTTAACCTGCTGTGTCACAACACCGGCCCCAAGACTGGAGATTTTTGTAAAGGCTTCTCAGTCACAGCCAACAGGAAGTACTCAGTTTCTGTGACTAAGGAAGTGTGGGACGGACTCTTTTCTATAGCTCATTCAAGCCCCAGTTCCACATCTGACGGACATAACAGAAAGTCTCCCTCTGATTAGGTTCTTCTTAAAGAGAGAAGGCAGTTACCCACTACCCTGAGTAAACTTTAGCAACTGTGTTCCCTGCTGCAAGAGCAGAGACTGAAATGAGATGCAATAAAGAACTCTAACAGCTGCAGGCACTGCTAGCCTCTAAATGGGTAAGATAAGAGTTCACGTAATCTCTCTGCCCAAAGTCTTTAAAAATAGACCAGATAATCATGGATCACTTTTATCAGCCAATCCACAAACTCCCTTGGAAGCAAGGATAGGAACTGCATGACTTCTGGAGAGTCTTTTATGCACTGTGAGCCTATAAATTTGTAATTCCTACTTTTAATGTATGTGTGCTGACCCTGAACTATAACTGCTACGGTCACCCAATTATCAACAAGCAACTTTTACCCCCAACTCTAATGCATCCAAAGTCAAGGCACATCCCAGACCATAAAAACAGCCTCACCCCAAGCCCAGTGGACGCTGAATAAAGGAAAGTACCACAGACACGCCTCAAGCTGCCTCTGCCACATAATCTGCAAGTGTGTTGCCCAACCGGTCCTCTGGCTCTCAGACGTCAGAAGACAGTAAAAGATACCACCCTTACCTGTAAATAGGGGGCTGAAGGAGACCGGAGAAAAGGCACTTTGAGTTCTTGTCAACCTGGGTTTCCTAGGGGGCAGAAAGCACACAGAGAATGAAGGGGAGAAATGAACACACATGCATTTAAATTACTACAACACTCAATTGCAGATGTACTGTGAAACAAAACAAATCCTCGTTAGTCACTGTCAACAATACTCCCGTAATAAAGCTTAAAATTTGGAGGTAGAATAAAATAATTAAGGCAATTCCTTAAATAGATTTGGCTACAGAATTCATCAGCCTACAAAGCAATAAGAAATCCCTTTGGATCTCTCCACACCTAGCACATTATAAAGTAAAGCACCTTGAGTGGTAATTCGTAATTAGCAAGACCATTTTAAAAGGAAGTCAGATGCAGAGTTGCTTTCCATCGGGGAGCCAAGAAAAAGCCTCCAGACCTGAAAAGGAGCCAGTGCAGGGCCTGCATGCAGAAGGTCCCAAAGTGCATCACAGAAGAGATTAGGACCTGAGAACAGTACTACAGGATGCACAGGCAATCTTCAGCCAGGAAGACCTCTCATTTCTCAACAACTGCCCCAAAGCATCAATCAAAGCCATCAGCTAACCAATGGCCTCCTCCAATCATGGATCTCTTCCACCTGTCTCTGAGCTACCAGTCTTACAGCTCTCTCTCTGCGACTCTCCCTTGATGCTGCTCCAGACACAGCCTGAAAACCCAGATCTCCTTTTGATCACACACCAAAGGTAACTTCATTTTGTACTAATCTTAACAGGCTTTTCAGCAAGAATTGAAAGAAATCCCAAAGACTCCAGAAAAGACTTGCTGGCGAGAAATGCACTAAACCCAAAAAACTCACTCCAGAATGACCAAATTGACTACAAGAGAGAGAACTTGTTGTTGGCCGGCGCTGCGGCTCACTAGGCTAATCCTCCGCCTGTGGTGCCGGCACACCGGGTTCTAGTCCCAGTCAGGGTGCCGGATTCTGTCCCAGTTGCCCCTCTTCCAGGCCAGCTCTCTGCTGTGGCCCAGGGAAGTGCAGTGGAGGATGGCCCAAGTGCTTGGGCCCTGCACCCCATGGGAGACCAAGAGAAGCACCTGGCTCCTGGCTTTGGATCAGTGCAGCGTGCCAGCCGCAGCCCTCCGGCCACGGCGGCCACTGGAGGGTGAACCAACAGCAAAAGGAAGACCTTTCTCTCTGTCTCTCTCTCACTGTCCACTCTGCCTGTTAAAAAAAATAATAATAATAAAAAGAGAGAGAGAGAACTTGTTGAAGTGATGGAAACATGCTATATGCTGTAGTGGAGATTATGCTGAGTAAATTAGTTTGTCAAAATTAATAGAATTGGACACGACACCTAACAAAGGTAAATTTTGTGGCACATAAATTGCACCTCAATAAACCAGACTTTTAAAAAATCCCACCCAGAATGGACAGAATCCAGGAATTATACCTATAATTATAGTGCCTACTCCAGGCATTGTAGCTAGCTCACCTTCCAAAAATACTCTCATCCAAAGGACTAAACAGAACTTAGAACTCTTTTTAACTACCAACTACCCAATAAAGGAAGGCAAAAATAAAATCTAAAATGAAATCCTATTTAAGATTATTTGACTTCCAATGTTTATGTCTTAATGCAGCTAAGCAACTCAGAATCACTCCAAATAAAACTCCAGGACCACACCAGGAACACTTTACTCAGAGAGCTGAAGCATCCATCACTCCCTTCTCCTGACCCATCTTTCGAACTCCCTCTGCAACTACCTGCAGGCGGAGACTCTGAATGCCACACCCAAAGCACAGAGCCAGAGCCAGGGCCGCCCAACAGCAGACACACTCACACGGCATCTCTGTTTATAGACGTTGCTCATGACTGTCTGCAGCTTGGTTCCAGTAACCCAGGGGGCAGGAACAGAACGTTAATCCAACTGGACATGAACTTAGGACTGTTGATGAGCTTCCAAGCTGACTTTCATTTGATAATCTGTGGGTAAAACACTAAACTCAGCAAGTAGAAACCTAAAGCACTGGCCTTTCAGAAGGTTCACACCTCAGCCATTTGGCCGTTTGCCTCTTTTCAAAGGAAGCTGCATTACGCTGCCATCTGCCCATGCTGGGGACGAGCCGCTCAGCGCCAAGCGCTGAAGAACGGCAGTACCCACATGCACACATCTTGCGGAGGCCTTCTCACTTCAGCTCATCTTATCCCCCACCCCCGGCATTCTGAAGAAGAAAATCATAATTTCTAGGATGTAGAAAAAGAAAAACACATCTGAATCTCAACCCAGGCAGAGCCATTTTAGAGGGCCAGGATGGTTTTTCCTGGCAATAAAGGGGCCTCGTGGCTTGGAGCTAAGACAGGTGAAAGGTCTAAGCGCCTGAAAAGCCAACGTTCAACATGTACACTTTCCTCTCTCTTCAGGAGACAGCGCCTAACTAAAAACCCAAAGCAGCCTCTCCTCAAGGGCCCTGAGAGCATTCCAGTGAGTCATTCATGAAATGACAGATACAGAAGACAAAGCAGAACAAGCAGCAAGGGAATGATTAAAATAAAAGTGAGGACAGTGGTCACCTGGTGGAAGGGCAGAAGATGTTATCAGGGAGCAGCAAAGGTATCAATAGCATTCTCCATATCTGCTAAGCTTGTTGATGGGTATCTAGGCATGCGTCTCATTATTACTCAAGTACATACTCTGTCCTTACCCCCTTTTGGATATATGAAACATTAGAATGATAAAGGCCCATTATAAACTGCCATGCTACTTTTTGGAGAGCAACAAAAATGATGTGGCTCCAGACAACATTTCAACCTCTACCCCACATTGCCACAGCAGACCCCTCCCTGGATCACCTAGACAAGAATCAGGGTTACAGTCCTGCCACTCTAACTCCGCCAGTGCACCCTAGCAGCAGAGACATGTGAGGGACAAGGTGGAGTCGGGCAGTATTTGGTAGGCTGCGCCTCAGGTGACAGAACAAGACAGGGGCAAAAGGCTTTATGCAAAGGTCTTCTTTAAGGCTAGCAATCCTTTGTGTCTTCAATGTCATTGTAGGTAACAGAGACGGAATGCCTCCATCCAGTTCTACGACAGCAGATTTATGAGATACAAGGAGCTGGAAAGCATTAGACAGGATGGTGACATGTAAATATAACCACTGGCCAGTTTCAAATTCCTTGAACTCTAAAATATAATGAAATAATGCCTTTTCTCTCTTATCTACATATCCCCTCTACGGATGCTTAGGACTTTACAAATGTCTTTTTCTAAAGTATCTTCCAAACTAGGATGTCCAAACATCAGGTTTTGCAGCCCTAATGTACCTCTACCCCTACTAACGCATGCAGTGCCAAGTCAGCCAGCCTGTGCCATTTCCAACACGTCATCAGCCAGTCTCTGTTCATGTGCTACAGGCACAAAAACCATGTGTTCATTTTTAGTTCCAATACACAGACATCTGTGCAGCAAGGTCAGATCCAAAATCCCCCATAAACCAAGTGCAGAACCTATGGAGGGAGCTCCCAGGGAAAAGCCAATAGGCATAGTCCATGACCTAAAATCTCAGAAATGATGCTGGCAGGAAGAGTGTTAAGGAGTGAATGGTACAAGACTCAAACGGACAGAGATGTCTAAAGCCAAGAGCTCATTCTAAAAGAATAGTCGCCAACCATAAACATTTCATGAAAAATAACTAAAAAGATCAGTAAGTGTGGACCTAAAACCCACACATAAAATCAGAATTTGCTCACCACACCATCAAATCATTTTGCTCTCAGCAAGTCACACTATGACTCAAAAGGACTCCTTCAGACCTGAAGATCCAAGGAATCAAGGAAAAAGGTTTCTCATGTCTGCCAGGTCTGTCCACAACAGCAGGGCCCCAAACTGGTGCCAAGGCAGCCTGCCTCTCTTCCCAGAATTGTATCTTTTTCCCCAAATAGATAGGAAAACTGCTACAGAGAACTGTTCTCCATTTCTCTATCTCACTGCCAGTAATAGCCTCAACTTTTAACTCAGTAAAAGCAAATCTTGAAAAGTGAACAAAGATACCCATTTCCAACCGAGAGATGTATCATATGGGGATTCAAAAAGGTCAGCTCAAATGCTATTTCGCACTAAATTCACAGGAAGACAATCAGTCAACATATGTGAAACAGAAAAGGGAACTCCACTGGTTTTCCTGAAATAGTCAAGTTCTTCCTATACTAACCGTGGCCCACAGGCATCAAGCCCAGCTCTCTGAATCTCAACATATGTGTTTTTAAGGCCTCACCCATTCCCCCAGAACAGAAACCTGATTAGTTGGTGGGCCTCTTATTTCACTTACAGCAAAGTCCTCTGAGCTCATTTGTACTACACTTTAAACTCCGGATAACCAGGTCAAGTGCACATGGCAGACTCCAATGCATCCGAAAGGAAGCAAAGTTTTGCTTGGTGTTAAAATATGACAACTGTTTAGATTTATAAGCTGATAACAGGAAGTACTTTCTAGTCAATAGCTGTGAAAAGGTAAACGCTGAGACAGGGCAAAGACAGTCATGCCCAGAGGTTACTGCAAATGCCTCAAATTACACAGCAAGACTGCAGAGGCCCATAATTAACTCCAACCAACAACGCAGGGAAAGGCACATACCCTTAGGCAAAAGACTGAAATTTCTCAATGCTTCCAGATCCCCTAATCAAAACAAGAGAACAAGGTAAGAAACCCAAACTCGTCCTCCTCCCAGTAGGACAGGCTTCTCAGGAGGTGCAGATCCACAGGCATCACCACTACCCTGGCGAGACTCACCAAGTTTCTCACAGCTGCAAGGCTGCCAGCAAGACTGGCACACAGTGAGCTGCGGAGAAGCTCGCAAGCAGCACCCAATTCTAAGCAGAGAAAAAAATCATCGGTTCATTTTTTTTCTTTTCCAGAAAACACAAAATATTCCATCCAGATTTCTCCCGTCTTCACTCTATTCCCATCAGGATAAGAACAAGCCAGTCATCACTCTCCCATGAGAACAGCAGACAGACGTGGCCTCCATCCCAGGGCTGATGTTGGAGGTCTACATGCAGGAATGCAGACTTCCACATTCACTGCATAACACGCACACGCCGCCTCCAAACAGCAGTCGCCCAACGTTTACACACACACCTAGTTCTTCTCCAATTCATCAGAAAAAGCCCTTGGACCAAAAAATGTAATTCTCCAGTGCTCTGAACTAAGCTTCTTTGCAGAGCTACGGCCCAGTTTGCTCTGCAGTAGAAATCTGTATTGTGCTTAGTGAGAGGGTTGGTGACAGAGAAGCCAATGAGTATTAAATTCTGCTTCCAAAGGCAAAAAAGTATAATGTTACATGCCTTTTCCTCTTCCTAATCTATTAGACACAGCAGCTAATTTCACGCCACACCTCATATTTGGCGTCTCTGGAATCTTGGGCCAAGTCCTGGTCAGTATAAAATAAAGGCAAGACAAACCACAAGAAAATTAGCAACGCATCGGATGTCCCCAACCACAGCTTCTATCCCACCCCTCCCCTCTGATGAGAATTTCATCTGGATGGCTAAGTGGAGCACCGAATGCAGAGCCTACCACAGAAACGCTGTTTCAGCAGCCCGACACTCCTCAGGCTGAGCTCCCACATGAGCGCACTGGGAGGCAGATGCCAAAACACGGGCCCACCAAAAGAGGTAACACACTGATTTCTTTAGGGAGTCTGGGTTTGGCCTGACCCCCAAGAGGAGTCCATGGCGCACCTAGCAGTGCAGAAAGGGCAACAAAGCCAAGCTGATCTCACTGTCCTCCTGGAGTACTGACCAAATTTCCCTTGAAGAGAGAAGTCCATGTACGAGGGGTTCCTAGCCCAGGACTTTTTTATTTCCAATTCAAACTCTTGGGCCCCAGACATACTGATCTTCTCAAAAAGCTCCCCAAGTGAGGCTAGGGCTCGGTAAGTTATCAATTTAAGTCTACCTGTCCCTCAGCCTTCATTTGTGGCTGCCAGTAGGTATCAAGAATCCATCATCCAAGCAGAACCAAGACCAACTTCAATCTTTCTAAGAACCCTTCAGATGTACAACCCACTATGGCAATTACCACAAAGGAAATCTCATTTCATGGCCACCGAAGTTGATGACTTTCTACACAGACAATACAGCTCCAACCCTGAATGTCAGAGGTCAGTCCATCTTTCAGAAAGGCAGGCAAAAACTGCAATGTCTGAGTGTGGCATTTTCATCAGCTGGCCTAGACAGCTGTCCCACCTTCTACACCTCACTCAGAATTCTCAAGGGCGCTACAGAAAGCAAAGCTACTTTCTGTTCTCACAGTGCTCAGCACACAGGCTTGGGACACCAAGGGAATGACCAGAAAAACATTAAATTCTGAATGCTGACACCCTGATGGCAGGCCTACAAGTGCACCACTTCCTCACATCATTTGTATGCATGAAGGTGACAGGAGGCAGGGTTCTGGTACCCAGAGAGAATGAGCAAAGTGGTCAAGGGGCAGCACCAGGTTTTCACCCCAAAGGCCAAGCATCTCCAGCAAACTCTCTCCCAGGGGTAATGCTAGACAGGCACCCTGGAAACCCCTGAGGTCCCAAGGTCCCGGGGATTGGCTGGGATGGGGGTCTCAAATCATCCCCCAACAACAGAGATGCTAACTCTTAAAGAGTTGAAAGCTGTTGCCACAATTAGCTCTGATCTAATGCAAGAGCTGGCACCCCATTTCGCCCCAAATCTCTGCCCCCTCGTGAGAACTGCACCTTAACAACTGCCCAGATCGCAGGCAGCCGCAGAAATGACATCCGAGAAGGAAGTGTGGGGCACCCCCCCACCCCCGGCCCCCGGGCGATCTCACCTCCCCGCGTCCAGCTCCCGGCCCGCAGAGCCTCCCATGTCCGTCAGGCTCGCGGCGGAAGCAGCCAGCTCTCCAGAATGCCTCTTGCCGGCCCCGTCACCAGCGCCCGAGCCACCGGTGCAGCTCTTCGTGCGAAAGAGACGACTGAGGCGGATTTTGAAGGAGCCCTTCCGAGAAGGGCCCGCCAGCGGCCGGAGGGGCCCAGGCGGCGGCGGGGGCGGAGGAGGGTGCTGCTGCTGCTCCCCTCTACTCAGGCGCCCCGGAGGGACCAAGTCTTGCAGCGGGAAGGGCGCCGGGGGCAATTCGGGGCCCGGGGGCTGCAGCAGGAGCCGGGTGCCGCCGCCGCCGCCGCCTCCTCCTCCGCGGCCCGGGCTGCTGAGCTCCTCTTCCGAGCAGCTGTTAGTCTCCAGGCTCTCGGCCTCCGATTCCAAGGCCTCCAGGACCAGCAGTGCGTCGCTCGTTTCCGTGGGGTCCTCCCCGGCCTGCGGGGTGGCAGCAGGCGGCTGAGGCTGTGGAGGGGGCGCCTGCGGGGGGCACGGGCACGGGCACGGGCAGCAACCCCCACCGACTGTCTTGACCCCCGGCGCCGCCGGCTGCCGGAGCCCCAGAGCCGCCAGCTGCGCCTCGAGTCCAGCCACCGGACCCCAGGTCCGCTCGAGCGCCAGTCCCGGCGGCAGGGCCTTGGGGTCCAGGGCACAGCGGTGCCGGGGGCACAGCAGTTCCGAGGGTCTCGGCTCCGGAGCCGCCTCCGCGTCCTGCTCCTCAGGCGGCCGACCCACGTTGCGGAACACCATCAGCTGCGGCGGCCGAGAGCCCCGCGGGCCGGGCCGCGTGAGGAAGGGTGGCGGCGGAGGGCCATGGCCTGGGGGCGGCGGCGGCGGCGGCGGGCCTGGCTCGGGGGCCGCCTCTCCATAACCGAGGAGGCGGCTCAGGACGCGGTAGGAAGCGGCCGCCGCCGCCGCCTCGCCATCCCGGAGCTCGGCCCCCTGCATCGGGGAGAGGGAGGGAGGGCGGGCGGCTGGGAGCCGGGCTGGGGTGGGGACTAGGCCGGGCCCCGCCGGAGCCCCGCCCGCCGCGGCCCCCGGAGCGACAGCGCTAACGGCCGCCGCGGCCTCTGCCTCATAGAGGGGGGCGGGGGGCGCGCGGAGCCCAGCGCGAGCCCAGGCCGCGCGCCGCCGCCGCCGCCGCCGCCGCCGAAGACCGCCCCCCTGGAGTGGCGTCACTTCCGGGGGGCTTGGCCACGCCCCTTCCCCGGGCGTGCTCGCCTCGGTCTCCACGGCGCGTGTGACGTTGAGCGCGCCCCGCGCCGCTATTGGCTGTGAGCTCGTTCTCTTCTGGCGTGGGTCTCCCTCAAGACCCCAGCTTTTTCACTTCCTGGGCGGTCAGGCCCAGACCATGCCTGTGGCTGGAATAGATGCTGGTGTCCTGGCAGAGAGCCGCTGGCTTTGGGACTCCCTGCGGGTCTTGGCCCACCTGTGTGACCTTGGCCGAGTCATTTCATCGTCCATCTGACGTCCAGGGAATTGTCGATTGACTGCCTGAGCACTGCTCTAGACCCAGGGGTGTGCTGGTGCGGGCTGAACAGCCGGCTCTCTGGGGGAACAAAGAGTGTGTGTGTGTTCTGGTAGTGGTGACATAGATCTGCACTTCTGGTAGTGTAGGCACATACATTTGTCATAAATTTTGCTGCTACAAAGAAAGAGCACCACACAATAGTATAGCAGATTCCGTATATACAGCTGATTCACGGAATGCTTCCACTGATCTTTGCCGGCCTGTTTCTGTGGGTAGCCAGACTGGTTGCAGTTGGCCAAGGAGAGTAATTGCAACAAGAATGTAAGTTGATGTTTTCCTCTGTTAACACAAGAGAAAAGTCAGGAAACAAACAAACAACTTAACTAGATGGTCAGTGATGGGAGTGACTCCTTTGCTGAATCGAAAACACAGGCTCAGGCCGGTGCCGCGGCTCACTAGGCTAATCCTCCGCCTTGCAGCGCCGGCACACCGGGTTCTAGTCCCGGTTGGGGCACCGGATTCTGTCCCAGTTGCCCCTCTTCCAGGCCAGCTCTCTGCTGTGGCCAGGGAGTGCAGTGGAGGACGGCCCAAGTGCTTGGGCCCTGCACCCCATGGGAGACCAGGAGAAGCACCTGGCTCCTGCCATCGGATCAGCACAGTGCGCCGCATTGCGCCGGCCGCGGCGACCATTGGAGGGTGAACTAACGGCAAAAAGGAAGACCTTTCTCTCTGTCTCTCTCTCTCACTGTCCACTCTGCCCGTCAAAAAAAAAAAAAAAAAAAAGACACAGGCTCACAATACAGGAAGAATATTTTCCCAACTTTTGTGTTATTCATAATGTAATGGCTACAGGCATTACATTAAATTTAAAATTGAATTAACATTTTCTCCATCACTTTCTTTTTGTTTTTTTTTTTTTTTTTTTTTTTTTTTTTTTTTTTTGACGGGCAGAGTGGACAGTGAGAGAGAGAGAGACAGAGAGAAAGGTCTTCCTTTGCCGTTGGTTCACCCTCCAATGGCCGCCACAGCCGGCGCGCTGCGGCCGGCGCACCGCGCTGATCCGATGGCAGGAGCCAGGAGCCAGGTGCTTTTCCTGGTCTCCCATGGGGTGCAGGGCCCAAGCACCTGGGCCATCCTCCACTGCACTCCCGGGCCACAGCAGAGAGCTGGCCTGGAAGAGGGGCAACCGGGACAGAATCCGGCGCCCCGACCGGGACTAGAACCTGGTGTGCCGGCGCCGCTAGGCGGAGGATTAGCCTAGTGAGCCGCGGCGCCGGCTCCATCACTTTCTTAAGTCTAGGTAACCAACACCACAGCACATCACGCCCTGATTCATAGCATTTGCCCAGCTCCATGATGTAAATACCCCCACCCACGGCTAGTTTTGTTTTGTTTTTTAAAGATTTATTTATTTGACAGAGTTACAGAGAGACGGGGGGGGGAGAGAGAATCTTTCACCTGCTGGTTCACTTCCCAGATAGCTGCAACAGGCAGGGCTGGGCTGGGCCGAAGCCACGAGCCAGTTGCTTCTTCCAGGTCTCCTGCATGGCTGCAGGGCCCCAAGCATTTAAATCATCTTCCACTGCTCTTCCCACACTATTACAGGAAGCTGGGTTAGAAGTAGAGAAGCTGGAACTCAAACCGGCGTCCATATGGGATGCCAGCTTCGCAGTGGCAGCTTACCAGCTATACCACAAGGCCAGCCCCACCATAGCTAGTTTCAATCTATCAATGTGGGTTTACTGGATGCAGTTAGGAAGAGATGAGCTGTAATGTACCATTAGGCAGTAGATTAATCATGCAGATACTACAGACACAAATACTCTTAAAGGCTTAGTAACATTAAAAAGCCATGAGATTGGGGAATTTATTACCTTTTAAAAAAGATTTGATTTATTTGAAAGCAGAGTTAGAGAGAGAGAGATCTTCCATCCTCTGATTTACTCCCCAAATGGCAGCAAACAGCCCAGGCTGGGCCAGGCCAGGCTAGGATGCAGTCAGGAGCTTCTTCTGGATCTACCATGAGGGTGGCGGGGGCCCACGCACTTGGACCATCTTCCGCAGCTGCTTTCCCAGGCGCATTTGCAGGGAGCTGGATCGGAAGTAGAGCAGCCAGGACTCAAACTGGTGCCCCTACAGGATGCCAGCACTGTAGACGGCGGCTTAACCCACTGTGCCACAGCACCGGCCCCATTACCTTTGTTTTTAAAGTAGTTTAATTAAAAGTCTGTATAATTTCATTTTACTCGTGTCAGTGTTTAGCAGTTGACTTGCAGAATTCCAGAAATGTTATCGAGTGATTTTCCCAAGCTGGTATGAGCCAGCGCATAGCACCGCTAGACTCTACTTTTCTCATTTGTGAAACAGAGATAAGGATAGAAGCTTTGCTTACTTGCCTGCTATCAGGACCAAGTAAAATGAAGCTTGTTGTGTGGAGGAGGTGGGACTGGAGGCAAGGAGTCTGGGTAGCACCCAGGGCTGTTGTCCCCGTGGGAGATGTCGAAGGATGCAAGGAATCAGAGGCAGGGTCAGCCTGCAGAACTTGGCAACGTCAGGACTTGAAAGTGCGTTGAGGGGCCAGTGCTGGCGCAGCGAGTAAAGCCACCGCCTGCGACACCGACATCCCACAAGGGCTCCTCCACTTCCGATCCAGCTCCCCGACCATTGCAGATGGAAGATCTCCCCCCTACCAACACCACCTTTCAAATAAATAAAATAATAAGTCAAATGAAAATAAAGAAAAGGTAGTGAGTGCATTGAGAGGAAGGGGGTCGGGGCCTTCTGAGAGTCCTGCACCAGAGGGACCTCAGAGGGGTCTTTCCAAAGTGAAATTGTAGTCTCAGGCTGTGATAGTAACCATTCCCAGGCTGACACACAGGCCAGTGGGCCGAGTGATCTGACCTCCGCCTCTCTCCAGGCTCATCTCTTTCCATCTCCACCTTGTCCCCGTCCCGTGCCGGCCCCCTAGCACTGTGTCAGGTCCACACATATGGACGCAGCACAAGCCATCCCCTTTTCTTGGAAACCTCTCCCCTCTCTTAGTAAACTCCTGCACGTCCCCCACATTGGATTCATTTCGCCGCCTCTGAGCCCCAAGCACAGGGGTAATTTCCATCTGTCTGTGGGATGATTTCATTAAGATCCATCCACCTACTAAACGGTAAGCTCTCTGAGAGACGGGAATGTCCCTTCCTGGACCGCCCAGGGCCAAGGACCGAACCTGGCTTCACGCATAGTTGTGCAACGGATGTTCCACGCCAGGCTGTGTAAGAGTCTGCTGGCGTGAGTTCCTCTCTAACTGTGTACAACAGACCTGGTTCCCTTCTTCGCACAGGAAGAAACAAACTGAAGCCCTGTGGGTTATTTGGCTAAGGTTACTTGGTTCCAAAAGATGCAGTGGAATAAGAGTCAGCTGTGCCTTACTCCAAGGGTTTTACTCTCTATCCCCCTTTCCCTGACTACTCAGGTTTCTGGAGTAAAGGGGTGAACTCTGAGATCCTAGAATCGCCTCCCCCTCACCGGCCTACCAAGCCCACAACGATTCCTGGCTCGCCCTGCTGAGCGCCATCTGTGGCTCAGCAGCGCCCTCTGCCGTCCAGCTACTTTCTTGGCCCCAGACGAGCCCGGCGAGGCGGCAGTCCAGTGTCTCCCACTTGCCCCAAGCACTCAGAGGTACACGGGCACACACATACAAGACAGGGCTAGGGATGCTGCCTTCGTCCACTTCCTTCATTGCCCAGATCTGTATCCCAGTCCTGGAAAAAATTTTGAATGTTGAGCTCCAAGCAAAGGTAGTGTGTCTTTGTGTTTGAATGACTTGGATTTGTGTGTTAACTTGATTTCATGTCTACACATATATTTTCCTCTGCGTCAAAAAGGCTTATGAAGAACAACTTAGAGATGAAGTTCTGAGGTCCCTTTAGTCAGCAGCAGGGCAGGCTTTGGGGACGCAGTGAGGACTGAGACAAAGATGGTGTCTAATCTGGACTTTTCTGCTGGTCTAGTTTGAGTCATGATCATGCCACTTTGTGGACACATAGCCACGCCCATGTAACTAAACATCTCTGAACCTGTGTTTCATCTGTAAAATGGGGTCTGGAAGAATGCGCACACACACAGGGCTATTGGGACTAAGTGGAAAGTGATAGGTATGGGTGCTTGAAAATCCTAAGGCACTATACACACATGCGTTTTTATTATAAAAAGATTTTTGGAGACCCAGCTGCTCCACTTCCCATCCAGCTCCTTCCTAATGTGCCTGGAAAATGGCCCACACATCCGTGTGGGCAATCTGGATGGGGTTCTTGGCTCCAGGCCTCAGTCTGGCTCAGCCCCAACTATTGTGGGCACTTGGGGGATCAACCAGTGGATGGAAAATTTTCTCTCTCTCTGCCCCACTGTTTCTCTCTGTCACTCTGCCTTTCAAATAAAAAAAGTAAATTTTTTTAAAAATAATAAAAATACAAAGCTTTCTAAGAAAAAAAATGAGTTAAGTCTTTACCCACTGTGTTTTGTTGACCTTCGAGTAATGGTAACAAATGACACCAAGAAGGCCAGCGCTTCGGCTCACTAGGCTAATCCTCCGCCTGTGGCGCCAGCAGCCTGGGTTCTAGTCCTGGTTGGGGTGCCGGATTCTGTCCCGGTTGCTCCTCTTCCAGTCCAGCTCTCTGCTGTGGCCCGGGAGGGCAGTGGAGGATGGCCCAAGTGCTTGGGCCCTGCACCCACATGGGAGACCAGGAGGAAGCACCTGGCTCCTGGCTTCAGAACGGCATAGCTCCGGCTGTAGTGGCCATTTTAGGGGTGAACCAACGGAAGGAAGACCTTTCTCTCTGTCTCTAACTCTGCCTGTTCAAATAAATAAATAAATAAACAAACAAACAACACCAAGGCATGGGCTGGGACATGTGCTCCCTCATCTGCCTCTCTGTTTGCACACAGCATCAGAGGGGCCAAGGACAGGGCCACGGCTGTGCAACGCAGGGTTCTGTCCCCAGCCATGCCATGGCTTGGGGACCTTGGCAATGTCACTCTCCTTGCAGGGTTTTGGCTTCCTTATCTGCTGAAGAAGCGTCTGGGCTATGGATTCTTCAAGCTCGAATGTTACGGAGATTCTCCTAGGGCTTTGTCCTCTGCCCCCTACCTCCCCCACTTGCCCTACATTCCCGCTTGGGCCCCACAGCAGAATCGCTGCTTGCAGAGGCCACCGTGAAGCAAGGGAAGTTTTTAGCAACACCCATCCATATCCTCGGTGCTCCAGAACACCAAGGTTTTAAACAGTGGAGGGGCTCTGGGAGTGTGGAAGGGTGGGCAGCAGGAGGCAGTGCAGGCCCGTGGGGAAGTGGGAACACAGCAGCCATGAAAGGAGATGCAGAGGTGAGATCAAAAGATGGGCGGGCAAGGAAGCCAGGAGGCAGGACTTTTCTTCTGTGGCTTCCCCCAAGAAGCCATTCCCTTCCAGATCCAAGGAGGCTGCCAGGCAGTGCTGACCCTGGCCCCTGGTATTGTGTACAGCAGAGGGAAGTTATTTGTGAGGTGTAAGAAAATGGGGGAGGCATAGTGGGTAAAGCCTCTGCCCGCAGTGCTGGCATCCCATATGGGCGCCAGTTCAAGTCCCAGCTGCTCCACTTCCTATACGGCTCCCTGCTAATGCACCTGGCACAAGTCCTTGGATCCCTGCACCCACGTGGGAAACCTGGAAAAAGCTCCTGGCTTCTGGCTTCAGGTAGGCTCAGTTCCAGCCATTGCAGCCATTTGGGGACTGAACCAAGGGATGGAAGATTTCTCTTTCTCTCTCTGTAACTCTGCTTTTCAAGTAAATAATATTTTTTTAAAGAAAATAATGGAGAAGAACAAGACCGAGCAGGTTTTCTTTTTATTTTTGGTTTTTTTTTTTGTTTTTTGTTTTTTTGTTTTGTTTTGTTTTGCTTCGTTTTAAAGTTTATATGCTTATTTGAAAGGCAGAGTTACAGAGAGGCAGAGGCAGAGGAAAGACATCTTCCATCCACTGGTTAAATGGCCACAACAGCTGGAGCTGGGCCAATCCAAAGCCAGGAGCCAGGAGCTTTTTCTGGGTCTCTCCACACAGGTGCAAGGACCTGGGCCATCTTCTACTGCTTTCCCAGGCCACATCAGAGAACTGGACGGGAAGAGGAGCAGCCAGGACTCAAACCAGTGTCCATATGGGAGGCCGGCACTGCAGGCGGCAGCTTTACCCACTATGCCACAGTGCTGGCCCCTGAGCAGGTTTTCTAGGAAGGAAGGAGAAGGCAGGGCTTAGGATGTAACAATGAAGATAGAAGAAATAGAGGCAAAATTTTATTGTTCTTCTCCCTGTCCCTCCATCCCGCCCCGCCCCCCCCAGCTGCCCTGCTTGTCACTCCGAGGTCCAGGAGAAAGAAGGCTGTGGCAGGTGGAGACCTGCGTGAGGCTACAGCCCCACCAAGGACAGCAGAGTGGTCCTAGGGAAGCCTTTCACCCCTCTGGGCCACGGCTACTCCTCTGAAATGGGGCCTTACTACACCCCCGAAGTGGAGCAACAAGGCGCTGGTTGTGGTGTTGCTGGGCAGCGCACTGGTCATCTTCTCATCACTCCAGCCAAATACCCGAGAACACTGACTTTTAGAGAAAAGGTTCATCTAGCTCACAGGTTTGGAGGTTCGCAGTCCAAGCTCACATGTTGGTTGGGGTCGCAGTGGATGGATGGATCACTAGGGCACCCAGGAGGCAGAGAGAATGGCGGGGCCTGACTGAGGCTTTTATAACCATCATTTTCCCAGTAACTTCAGGATCTCCCACCTCTAATCATTACTTGCATTGTCTCCACCCTCATGGCACCATTAACTTAGGGTTTAATGTCCACATGAGTGTCCTGGCATTGTGGCGTAGAGGGTTAAGGCACCCCCTGTGACAGCAGCATTCCATATGGTCACTGGTTCAAGTCCTGGCTGCTCCACTTGCGATCCAGCACCCTGCTAATGCACCTGGGAAAGCAGCATAAGATGGCCCAAGTGCTTGTGCCTCCGCACCCACATGGGAGGCTCAGATGAAGCTCCTGGCTCCTGGCTTTGATCTTGACCCTGCTCTGGCTATTGCAGCCATTTAGGGAGGGAGTAAACCAGCAGGTGGAAGATCAATCTTTCTCTTTCAAATAAAATAAATAAATCTTAAATAATAATAAAGTCCCCAAAAATATGGGAGTCAGATCTTGTTTAAATGACAGCAGGTGGTGTAGGGGAGTCAAAGGTCTAGCTTTGTCAACTGAGAGTGACTCTCTGAGCCTCAGGGTCTGCATCTGTGAAGTGGGGATAAGCACACTCACCACGAGGTGGGGAAGAATCATTGCAGTAAAGCACACAATAAACACTTTATAAGCTGCCCCAGTCTGCACAAAGAGTGACCCTGGTTATACCCTCACCATGCCCACTCTCAAATTCTAGTTGAGTGGCAAGGTGCCAGGGGGGTGCAGGCGTCCAGAGCAGCAGGCCAGGAGGGGGAGCCTGATCCTTCATCACGCCTGTTGCAACCACTGCCAGGGAGCTGCAGGAGCAGAGGGTTGGGGAGAGGGGCACGGGCTCATCTGTGGTTGCTATGGCACCCATGCTGGATTTGCCCATCTCTCCTAATGGAGCAAAGGGCAGAGGGAGGGAGGGGGGAGGAGCACCACTGGTCCCTTCCTCCTCTCTCGCCCTCTCCCTGGAGCAGATGCGGGGTGGGGGGTGGAGGGAGTGCAGACACTGGATCAGAGAGTGGGGGGAGGACAGAGTGGCTGCCAGGATTAAGAGGGTTTGAGGTGGGGGCCACACTGAGAGGGGAGGGGCAGGGCCCTCATAACGACATCCAGAGCTGGCTGATGACGTTAGAGAAAAGAAAAAACAGGCGAGCGTGAGAGAGAGGGAGGGAAGAGGAGGGGGAGCCAGGAGAGGAGGTGTGGAGGCAGGCAGCCCCCAGATGACAGCCACCTCTTCCTGGGCTTTCTCGAGTCACCGAATCCCCCAGGCAGCCTGGAGCCCAGGGTCTTGAGAGCTGCCCCGAGGATGGACACCAGGGCAGTGGTCCTGCTGCCTCCCGTGTGGGGGCTGCTGGGCTGCTACTTCCTCTGCGGCTGGGCTCTGGGGGGCCCACGGTCGCTCCGCTCTCTGCCCTCTCAGGCCCCGCCAGGGTCCGGGCCCGTGTGGCTGCCCCCAGAGGGGGCTGAGGCGGCGCTGGCTTTTCTCCACTCTGGGGACGCCCGGCAGCTGTTGGGGGCTAACTGCAGTGAGCGCTACGAAGCAGGTGGTGCAGGAGCCAGCCCGGGGCTCCCCCAGGTGCTACACCACGCAGCCAGCACCCTCGCCCAAGCTGCCAACTTCCTCAACATGCTGCTGCAGGCCAACGACATCCGTGAGTCCAGCGTGGAGGAGGACGTGGAGTGGTACCAGGCTCTGGTCCGCAGCGTGGCGGAGGGAGACCCGCGAGCTTACCGTGCCTCGCTGACCTTCAACCCTCCACCAGGGGCCAGCCACCTACAGCTGGCCTTGCAGGCCACCAGGATGGGAGAGGAAACCATCCTTAAGGACTTGTCTGGCTACAGGGTGCAGGAGAGCCCAGCCGGGGACCCAGACACCTCTGCCCTGCGGAAGCGAGTGCTGACCAATGACCTGGGGAGCCTTGGCAGCCCCAAGTGGCCACAGGGGGATGGGTATGTGGGGGACATTCAGCAGGTGAAGCTGTCTCCTCCCTTCCTGGAATGCCAGGAGGGCCAGCTCCGTCCCGGTTGGCTGATCACACTCTCGGCCACCTTCTACGGACTCAAGCCAGACCTCAGCCCAGAGGCCAGGTAAGTGGGTAGGACTTGATGCCTTTGTGGGCACACGATGGTGAGAGGGGCAGCTGCGCTTGGGCCATTTGGCACACACATGTGCCTGTCTGAGGGACACAGCTGTATGTACTCACCTTTGGCTCTGAGACTCTGTAGCTATTGGTTAAGGTATATAGACACGGGTGCATACACAATGTATGAGTCAGTGCATGGACAAGTGTTGGTGTGGGGGTCTGTATTTATGCTCTTGAGCACAGGAATGGGCGTATGTGAGCTCATGCAAGCATAAGTGGGCATGCACCTGCCGGCAGGAGTACATAGGGAGTGTGTACAGATGTGTACAAATGTGTGGGTGTAGCCAAGCAGAGGTCTTGGGCCCCAGGTCTGAGGAGTGGGCAGTGTAAGAAGCTGGACAGGGCTTGATGTGGATGACAGTGACAGTCCTTGCCCCAGGCGGACAGCCCAGGAGTCAAGCGTGCTGGTCCCTAGCACTGAGAACTAGCAGAGGGAGGAGAATTATTGGGAGTGGGGGGTCTGGAACCAGCGCTCTTTGTTTCCAAGAGCTGGAGCTGGCTGGGTCCCCAGTGGCACTCTCAATGCTGTATTTTGCATCTGTCCTGACCCAGGAGCTTGTGATGTGCCTTAAATAACTGACCCCTCACTCAGCCAGAGTAAAGAGGACTGGAAGCCTCTTTGGGAAGGGGCAGCAGCTGAGGCCTTCAGCAGGTTGCTTTTCCGGCTCCATGTACCCGTGCTGCAGGAAGCCTGCAGGGGCTGGGGAGCTCGGGAGCAGTGCTCCCCTCTTCCACGTCCCCCTGGCCGATTGGCACAGACGTGGGAGTGAGATGCTGGCTAACAGCTGAGCTGTGTTGTGGGTACCTGCAGTAGGGCAGAGTGAAAGCCCCCTCCGACTGATCCTCAGAACCCTGGCTCCCACGTTTCTCGGCAGGGTCCCTCCCATTGATAGAAACCAGAACGGATAAGATGCTGAAAAGCTGAGGGGTAGAAGGACAACCCGTGTGAGGTTGCCCCGGAGACAGTGAGGGTCAGGAGCACTGGAGGAGCGGAAATGCTCGTGTGCCCTGCTCTGCACTTGCTCAAGTGTGTAAGAATTGTATTTGTTGCCCTAAACGCCCACCTTGGCAACCATCACTGTGCCCCTCACTGCCAATTCACTGCCCTAGGGGGCAGGTGCAGATGGACATCGATCTGCAGAGGGTGGACATCGACCAGTGTGCAAGCGGCCCAGGCTGGTACTCCAACACGCACCTGTGCGACCTCAACAGCACCCAGGTACGGAGAAGGAGGATGAGGGACCACGAGTGTCCTGCCTGCCTCCCCTCTGCCCATCACTGCCACCACCCAGGTCCCGGGAGCAGCTGGCAGAGCCACCCTAGCATCTCAGGGCTTCAGGGGAGCCCTTGCAGTGGGAGAGGCAGGAAACCCCGTTTTTAAAAAGTGAGACCATGTACAGCCCACCCCTCCAGCCTCCCGTCCCTGCCCAAGGCAGCTCTAGCTCCCGTCCCAGGCTTGCCCCCTGAGCCTCCATAATCACCCTCTGTCTTTCCCCTCGGCCACATTCTGCAGCTCTGGGCTCTTCTTGGTGCACAAAAGGTGCCCACCAATGGGCTTCCTCTTAGGGATGGGAGCCATCTCCCCCAGGAAGAACTTGCAGGGTCTGGGATGATGCAAGGGAGGGATCCCAGGCCAGATGCAGACGAAATAGAGGCCCCGGGAGCAGGTGAGGCCTGGTGATGGGTCCTGCAAGCCCAGGACTGGATGCCAGTGAATGCCTCCGCACCACGGTTACACCGACCGCACACTTGGTGGGCAGGCAGGTCGCTCCGTGTGCACAGGTGGCCCTGCTGCTCTTTAGGGAGCATATGTCCAGGGGTGGAGAAGGCTCCCGCTGTCCCGCTGCTTCCCATGTACTTTCTTTTCTTCCTTCTTCCTTCCTTCCTTCCTTCCTTTTTCTTTCTTTCTTTCTTTCTTTCTTTCTTTCTTTCTTTCTTTCTTTCTTTCTTTCTTTCTCTTTCTTTCTCTCTCTCTCTCTCTCTCTTTCTCTTTTTTTTTTTTTTTTTTACTTATTTGACAGGTAGAGTTAGACAGTGAGAGCAAGAGACAGAACGGTCTTCCTTCCATTGGTTCACCCTCCCCAAAGGGCCACCACGGCCGGCACCATATCAATCCGAAGCCAGGAGCCAGATGATTCCTCCTGGTCCCCCACGCGGGTGCAGGCGCCCAATCACCTGGGCCATCCTCCACTGCCCTCTCATGTCCCGTCCACTTTCTAACCCAGCCTACTTCTCTGGGTACACGTTTGGCTGACCATTCAGACTGAGGCAGGAATGGAGCACCATCCACGGGTCCGTGTGAGAGAGAGCTGAGCCGTCACACTCCAACCTTCCGGGCGAGGTCAGGGCTGGCTGTAGACTCGCCCAGGGTCATCTCCTCCCTCTGCCTCCTTGGTGTCTGTTCCCAGCCACTCCAACAGAGCTGACCTCCCCCGCATCTCATCTTCCCCGCCTGGCTCTGAGTTCTGCTTTCTCCCCTGCTGCGCAGACATCAATGGGTGGAGGTGGAATAAAGGGCTGGCCTTGGCATCCCACCAGTGTGGCATTAGCCTGGCATTAGGGCCGGGGAAAGCAGTCCTGCGCCAAGCCAGATGGCCCCTGACAGAGGAAGCTGCTCCTCCACAGGGGCCTTTTCAACCCACCCACATGCCAAAGAGGGAGGTTGATGGGGACCCTTTGAAGCAGACGGTAGCACACAAGGTGTGGCCGGACAGAGTGCCCCCTCTTCCGCTCCCCCATGCACCATGCCCTAGCAGCAGGTGGGCACTGAGACTTGGGACCTATGAGGCTCCTGTCACTGGTCGTCTGAACAAAAGGGAGATCCAGCCCTGTAGTCTTTGCTTGAGGTTTCTTTGAGCAGAAGCAATAGCAGGGGGCAGGGGACAGTTTCCATAGAGGGAAAGTGCCCCAAGGACTTGGGAGGGCTGCCGGTGGGATTCTCTGTGCCACAGAAAGGGAGGGAGGCGGGCACGCCCACTCTCCCCAGGAGGGGAGCTCTTCCAGAGAAAGCCCCCTGTAAACACCTGTCGTGTTTGTCATCCCCACAGTGTGTCCCCCTGGAGAACCAGGGCTTTGTCCTTGGCCGCTACCTCTGCCGTTGCCGACCTGGATTCTACGGGGCAAGTCACGCCAGGGGTATGCCAGGGTGGCGAGGGCCAGGCAGGTGTTGTGCAGGCCATGGTGGTTGGGCGCATCTGGGGAGGAAAGGAAGTTGCCGTGAGACCATGGGGGGACACCTGTGGGGCAAAGGCAGAGGTCAAGAAGATGTTGCAAGGGCAAGGGGCGTCCAGTCGGGGGGCGTCTGTTTCTTCCGGAACGAGCCTGTCTCATGCAGGTGTGGTGCACGTTAACCTTCCAATGAGCCCTAGCCTGACGTCACCTCTTCCTCTTACTGTCTCCCTGGGGGGTGCCCACTCCCTCATAGCCCTGGGGCCACAGATCCCAGGAGGGCAGGGAGGGAGTTGTGGTGTCCATCAGGAGAGATGGCTGGGACACAGGCTGCCCCAGCCATGCCTCTCCCTGCACCCCTCTTGTTCTTTGTAGGGTTAGAGGAGACTGCCACCTACCCTGCTGGGCAATTCCAGCCCCCAGAGAGGCTGCTGCGGTGCCAGCCGTGTCCCGAGGGCTGCACCAGCTGCATAGATGCCACACCGTGCCTGGCGGAGGAGGCCCTGGCGCTGCGGGCAGCAGTGCTGGCCTGCCAGGCCTGCTGCATGCTGGCCGTCTTCCTGGGCATGCTGATCTCCTACCGCTGTCGCTGGAGCAAGGCAAGGAAGGCCCCACAGCCCCCTGCGCACATGTCCTGCCTGTCTCAACAGGAGATATGAGACAACCTAAGACTAGAACTCAGGGTGCCGGTCTTGGTTCTAAAGCAAATTCAGTATGTGACGTTAGGCAAGTGACTTCTCCACTTTAAACCTCTTAAATTAGCACTGAATGGGATTCAACCAGTGCTAGTTGAGGACGAGAAGCAAAATACTGCCTATGTGATCTTGACCCTCAGGGAGCTCCCGGCTTGGTGGAGGAAGCAGAAATGTACAAAAAAATGACAGCACGTGAGACAGGGGCATGATGGAGGGCTCTGTCAGGTGCTGGGTGGGCGCTCAGAGAAGGGACCCAGTCATCCTGCCTGGCAGGACATCGGAGGGACTTGCAGGAGAACGTGACATTAACATTAACCAGCTATTTACTGGGCAGAGACGGGCGTCTTCTCCCAGACTGGGAGGCAGTTTGACCCTAAGCTTGGGGGAAGGCATAAGATCCTATTCAGCTCCAGCAACCTCTGATGTGAGCCCAGGTCTGCAGCAAGGCCAGGGGTGGGATTGGGAGAGAAATGGGACTGGAATGCAGGAGGGGGAGCCACAGGAACCCTTGGTCTCAACCAGGCTTAGTGCCAGTGGAGCTAGGGGCAGGGTGGGAGTTGGGGCATGGCTGTGGACAGACAGGGCAGAGCTAGCATTGTGGGTAAAGCCAGGTCAGGCCAGGTCACTGAGTGAGCCTGAGGACAGGCCTGAGACCTGGCGCACTGTTCCGGCTCTGTGCTCCCCTGCTCTGCTCACCTGCCTCTCTGGTCCCTGCATCCACAGAGGATCCGGGCATCTGGAGTTGTCCTCCTGGAAACCATCCTTTTTGGATCCCTGCTGCTCTACTTTCCTGTGAGTCTGTGGCCAGAGGCTGGTCCTACCTCCCAGGATTCCCTACAGCCTGCAGCTGCCCGCCCCCCACCCCAGAACCCTCCCTCTTCTCTGCTCTCTTGGGGCCTCCTTGCTTCTACTCATGCCCACGAGAGGCAGGCTGGCCCCTGAGCTCTGAGACACACCGCGCGGTGATGCAGGGCAGGCTGCCGACCTCTCTGGAGGCGATGCTGTTTCTCCCGCAGGCTGCACAGCCCAGACCCGCGCCTCACACCAGCACAGTGGAACCCAGCTCTCCTGCCCTCTTCCCTCCAGGTCTTCATCCTGTACTTCAATGCCAGTGTGTTCCGCTGCATCGCGCTTCGCTGGGTCCGGCTGCTGGGCTTCGCCATCGTCTACGGCACCATCATCCTCAAGCTTTACAGGTAGGGCTCAGGTACAAGCTCCCTCTGCTTGCAGCAGGCCGCCCCAGCTCATCCGTGGAATGGAGGTTTTCACAGCAGACCCTTGCCAGCTCCGGTGCCCGTGCCCCCGAGACCTGCCTCCATCACGCTAGCCTTCCCCTCCATGTAACTTTTCGGGGTAAGATGAGGCAGACCACCGTGGGCAGGAAGGGAGGGCAGGCCCACGTGCAGAGGGGAGGGCAGCAGCAGACAGAGGCCAGGGCCCGTCTCTCGGGGCCTCCTGCAGAGTGCTCCAGCTGTTCCTGTCTCGAACGGCCCAGCGGGGCCCACACCTGAGCAGCGGGCGGCTGCTGCGGCGCCTCGGGCTGCTCCTGCTGCTTGTACTGGGCTTCTTGGCCGTGTGGACAGCGGGCGTCCTGGAGCGGGGGCCCCAGCAGACACCTCTGGTGACCCGAGGCCACACTCCCACCGGCCGCCACTTCTACCTCTGCCACCACGACCGCTGGGACTACATCATGGTTGTGGGTGAGCTACTTCCCCCAAGCCCAGCCTCACTCTGGCCCCTGGCGCTGCCCTTCCGGGTGTCCTCTTGTCCCCATCTCCTGCCTCGTCCCCAGAGCCCCGGGCCCGGGCCACCTGGCACGCCCTGCAGAGAAGCGGCACTGGCTGCTGAGGTGGTCCGCTCTCCCTCCCGGACTCCCACAGCTGAGCTGCTGCTCCTGTGCTGGGGCAGCTTCCTGTGCTATGCCACCCGCGCCGTGCCCTCAGCCTTCCACGAGCCGCGCTACATGGGCATCGCCCTGCACAATGAGCTGCTGCTCTCGGCCGCCTTCCACACAGCCAGGTGAGCACAGCCCCACCTGCCCGGGACTCCTCCCACTGCATCCTGGAGAGGGCAGGAAGAAGGCAGGCAGGGGAGGTGGGGGCGCTGGCTCTCACCTCTGACTCCCGCCCACCCACAGGTTTTTGCTGGTTCCCTCCCTGCACCCGGACTGGACCCTCCTCCTCTTCTTCTTCCACACCCACAGCACAGTCACTGCCACGCTGGCTCTGATCTTCATCCCTAAGGTGAGGTCCTTCCCACGCCTGCATGTGAGCAGCCCCCAGCCCCTCCCTAAGGGACTCTGTGGAGCTGCTGCCACCCTACAGCGCCCTCTCCAGGTCAGGATGAGGATGGCAGAGGTGCTAGGGGTGAGTGGGCTCTGTGGGAGGGGAGCCCCAGGCAAGGATCTGACTTGGTAGGGGTTGGAGTGAGCTGCTGTTTCTGCTTCCTGTGCCTGTGCAAGGGAACTAAGAGCTAGGGATTGGGGGTGGAGGGGCAGCTTCCTTCTATCACAGCAGGAAAATCCAGCCAGAGGCCATTAGAGAGAGGTGGGGGAGCTGAAGGACTCAGGCAGGGACTGTGGGCACAGGAGTTGGGACCACGCTGGTCTGTGGGGCCCCAAAATTCCAAACCAGAGAAGGGGGTGAAGATTCAGAAAGAGGAGACATATGCCCCAGGGCACTTGAGGGCAGGAGAGGGGAGGGAGCCAGGGCAAGTATTTCCTACTCAAACCCGCTTGGTCAGTTCCGGAAGCCGGGGGCTCCTCCCCGGGAGGAGATCTTGGAAGAGGTGTACGAGGATGAGCTAGACCTGCAGCGCTCGGGTTCCTACCTGGACAGCAGCATCGCCTCAGCCTGGAGCGAGCGCAGCCTGGACCCTGGAGACATCCGGGTAAGTGCTGCCCTCCCTGGCTCCTTTGGGTGCTGGCTACCCTGACACTAGGGCTGGGTGCTGCTGCAGGACCCCTGGCTCTCCCTCTCTCCCAGACCCACCCTCTCCCTTGCTCACCACTGCCCTAAGCTGATTCTCTGACTCTAATCAAAGGAGGCCCTGTAGCACCCAAATGGAAAGACTCCATGAGCCTGGATCCAGATCCCAGAATCCCAGGCTATCCTGCAAGTGAGATGCAGAGCTGAGAAGGAAGCCCTAACCCCTCATGTCCTCATCAGGGGGAAGCGGGTGTTAAACAAACCCTCAGCCCCCAGCAAAGCAGTTCAGTTGGTGACCCTGGGCCAGCTGTGGGGTTGGCTCATTCAGGCACCAATAGCCACCAGCACTTCATGCTAGGATCCCCTGTCCCTTGACCTGGCAGGTCTTAGAGAAAGGCAGTTCTTCCTGAGTCTTGCTTACTCTCCCCCCCCCACCCCCCGGCTGATGGGCACCCTTCTAGCCACAGGAAGCCCAAGAGGAGGCTCAATGGGGGAGTAAATAAGGAGACATGGTGGTCTAAGCCCTTGTTTTGTTTTTGAAGATTTATTTATTTGAGAGGCAGAGTGACAGGGAGAGAGGGAAAGGCGGTGTGTTGGGGAGTGGGTGGGAGAGACTTTTTCCATCCACTGCTTTATTCCCCAAATACCTGCAATGGCCAAGGGCTGGTCCAGGACAAAGTCAGCAGCCAGGTCTCTATCCAGGTCTCCCATGCAGGTGCAGGGGCCCAGGCACTTGGGCCATCATCTGCTGTTTCCCAGGGTGGGAGCTGGATTGGAAGTGGAGCAGCCAGGACTTGAACTGGCACTCTGATAGGGGATGCCAGCATTGCAAGAGGTAGCTTAATCTGCTGCATCACAACACCAGCCCCTGAGCCCTTGTTTTACAAAAACAGAGGCACAGGGACCTTTGGGAGCCCCTTTGTCCATCTCCTCCACCTCTACCAGGGAGCCCTCCACACCTGTCCCATTTACGGCTTCGAAAAGGAGACTCCACACCTCCACACCTCGCCGTCCCATCTGCCTCAGCTTCTGTGCCCCCTTGTGTCCTCCTTACCCTCTGAGCTCCGCCTGCCCTCCCTTCTGCCCCCCAGCCCCAGCCCTGGGTAAAGGCTGTGAGCTGAGTTCTCAATCCAGCTGGGAAGCCAGGAAGTGTGGCCGCACCTCCTATGGCAACACCATTTCAGCCCTCCACTTGGGGGAACATAGGCCATCTGCTCCCCTGTGGGGACCCTGGCCAGCAATGCACAGCGTAAGAGACTTTCAAAGCCCTGTTTGTTCCATCATCTACACCTGAATCAGCACTTGTCCAGTGCACTCGTCCCATGAATCCTGTCTGATCCTCTTAAGGATGTGAACCTGGTCAGCCAGGTACCATCAGTTTCTAGAAGATGCAGAGACTCAGGGAAGCCAAAAAGACACCTTGAGGCACACGAGGGGTCAGCCGCCTCAAACCCTGTCCCCTGAGCTGGTGACTGCCCAGCAGAGCCCAGGGCCCCGGAGAAGGGAGAGCCTCCTGCGTCCTCAGCGCTCAGTGGAGCTGGCGTGGAGCCGGGCTGGCAGGAACCAGGTCTTGCAGGAAGGGAGAGGTAAATTCTGAGCATTTTAGAAGCAGGGAACACAGGCTGATGGGAAAGACCGCAGGGAGGAAATGGCCTGAACAGGGCCGAGGGGGAGGGGTACAGCGCCGGCTCAGCCCTCCACCCCACGGCAGCTCGGTTCCCCTCTTCCCTCCCGTCCCCGCAGGATGAGCTGAAGAAGCTCTACGCCCAGCTAGAGGTCCACAAGACCAAGGAAATGGCTGCCAACAACCCCCACCTGCCCAAGAAGCGGGGCAGCTCCCGCCAGGGCCTGGGCCGCTCCTTCATAAGGTACCTGGCCGAGTTCCCCGAGGCCCTGGCCCGCCAGCACTCCCGGGACTCCAGCTCCCCAGGCCTCAGCAGCCTGCCCGGCTCCTCCCGCCGCCGGCTCCTCAGCTCCAGCCTCCAGGAACCGGAGGGGCCGCCAGCCCTGCGCAAGTCGCGCAGCATCTATGACCAGCACAGGGAGCAGGACTCTCCTCTCCTTGATTCGCTGCCGAGGAGGAACCTGTCCAAGAAGGACCCACGGCTGGAGAGCCGGGAGCCGGCTCCTGGGCCGCCTGCCCTGAGCTTCAGGTCAGCCAGCGCCCACAACCTGACGGTGGGAGAGCGGCTCCCCAGGGCCCGGCCCCCCTCCCTGCAGAAGTCGCTCAGTGTCGCGGCTGGCTCCAGGGAAAAGGCCTTGCTCGTGGCCAGCCAGGCCTACCTGGAAGAGACCTACAGGCAGGCCAAGGAGCGAGAGGAGCGAAAGAAGGCGGAGGCGGCCATGGTGAGCCCCGTGCGGAGGCCATCGGCCAGGAGGCTGGAGAGGGCTCGGGGAGCCCCCGTGTCAGCCCCGCCTTCCCCCGCCAAGAGCAGCAGTGTGGACAGCTCCTACACCTCAGGGAAGCTTCATGAGGAGGCTGGGAGGAGGCTGCCTCACCCACCCATCCGGCATCAGGTCTCCACACCCATCTTGGCCCTGTCTGGGGCCTGCCTGGGAGAGCCAAGGATGCTGTCTCCCATCTCCACCCTGGCTCCTGCTCTGATGCCAACTCTGGCCCCACCTGCCCTGGCTCCGGTCCCAACACCTCCCCAAAGCCCCAGCCTCCTCACCTTCATCTGCCCCTGGGAGAATGCAGAACTGCCAGTCAAGAAAGAGAACGTGGCCCCGGAAGCTCCCTCGGGGCCGGAGCGAGGCAGCCACTCTCCCGCCCCGGCTCGAGCCAGGCTCTGGAGGGCCCTCTCTGTGGCAGTAGAGAACAGGGGGGCCGGGGAGAATGACAGGGACACGGAGGGTGGACCTCTGCAGGGGGAAGCCGATGACGCGGATGGGGACAGGCCCAAGATCTTCTCTAAATCCCACAGCCTCAAGACTCCTGTTCAGCAGGGCTCCATGCGCAGCCTCGGCCTGGCCATCAAAGCTCTGACACGGTCTCGGAGCACGTACAAGGAGAAGGAGGGCGGGGAGGGCAGCCCCGAGAAGGAGAAGGGCAGAGCGTCAGGGCAGGGGGTGGGGGCAGCCCCCAGGTCCCCCAGGTCTCCCAGGCCGGGCCGGCCCCGGGCGGTGAGTAAGCAGGCCGCCCTTGCTCCCTGCGACGATGAGGAGTCTCTGCAGAACCAACAGAACGCTCACACCAGCAGAATGCTCCAAGTCTGTCGCCCAGAGGGCAGCAGGGAGCAGGAAGACGGAGGCAAGAGGACGGCCCAGGGGCTAGGGGAGCGGAGAGTTGACAGAGCAGGCAAAACGGGGCCTGCCATCCTGAGGCAAGTATTTGGGGACAAAAACGCTGAGCAGGCAAGAGAGGCCCCTGTGGGGTGGCAGGAACCGCCCAAGGCTGGCCTCGGGCTCCTGGGCAGTGCCGACTGCAGGGCGGCTGAGGTATGTCCCTGGGAAGCCACTGGGTCAGAAACGGGTCAGCTGGACAGTAGCAGCAAGGCCCAGATCTGCCCCTGGGAGGTGAGCGAAGGAGGCCCTGACGGGAGGGCAGGGAGACAAGCTCTAAATGACCAGCAGGAAGAGAGGCAGACAGCCCCAGAAAAAACAGAGCCCAAAGGTGTGGCTGCCACTGCTCGGAAGAAGCCAGAGAGGCTGGTCAGGGGGCAGGAGGCCGTGTGTCCCTGGGAGAGCGCCGACCCTGGCGGTCTTTCCCCTCAGTCATCCCTCGTGGAGGCTGACGGAACCAAGGGCAGGCCCGAGGCAGCGGGCGGCATGCGGGCTAGGAAGCTGGGGGAGAGCAATCGGGGAGAAGCTGCCGGCCCAGAGGGCTGCACAGCTGACCTAGCCAAGGCAGAGCGGTGCCCCCGGGAGGTGAGTGAGGAAGGAGCCCGGGGGGTGGTGAAGGAGCTCCCCCAGGAACGGCAGAAAAGTCCCAAGAAGGCAACCTTTGGAGACTTAGAGGCCTTCTGTCCATGGGAGAGCACCGATTTCCGGGGCCCCTTGGCGGTCTCACTCCAGGCCTCAGGCAGCCCAGAGGGCTCATGGAGTCCGGGCAGCGGTATGGCTGAGGTGCGGCCACCGGAGGCAGGAGACTCTCTCGCCATCAGGAAGGCAGAGGCCTGCCCGTGGGAGCTGGGGGATGAGCTGATGGGGACAGGTAGAGACTCCCTCCGGGAGAAGGGAAAAGGGAGCTTAGGAGAGGCAGGGGACCAAACTGTGAACACCGGGCAGATGTCAAGTCCACGGCAGGAGTCACCGTGCCCCTGGGACAGCACAGCTGCTGGACAGCCTGGCCCAGGTGCAGACAGTTCCTCCCCCACAGCTGGGGGCCAGCTCCAAAGCAGTGAGGGCAGCAGAGTGACACATGTGTGTCCATGGGAAGACCTCAAGCCAGAAGGAAAGGAGGCAACACCCGCCAAAGCAGAAATCTGTCCCTGGGAGGTTAACGAAATAACAGAGGACTGGACGTCGGGACAGGCACCAAGAGGAGAATCTCTGAAGGAAGAGCAGAAAGTGCCTAGGAAAGCAGGAATCAAAGATGCCAGGGCTTGGGAAAAGTCTGAGGGGCTGATGGAAAAGCAGGAAGCAGTCTGCCCCTGGGACAGCGTGGACCCCAGCAGCTGCCCCCCACAACAACCAGGTCCTCAAGACGCAGAGAGAGCACAAGCCGTTTTCCAGATGCCAGGCAGCGTGGAAGGCAAAGCTGCTGAGATCTGCCCGTGGGACCTGGAAGAAACCCTGGCTGCTGAGAAGGCCGCGATCTGCCCCTGGGAGGTGGGTGCCACAGCCAGGGAGGAGGGGGCTCAGGGAATTGAGGCCATCAGGAAATCTCCCAGTGATACAGGAAAGCCTCCTGCAGATTCTGGACCCAGGGAGAGGGCTGTTACGGCTCCAAAGAAGCCAGAGAGACCAGCCCTGGAGCGCGAGGTGGCCTGTCCCTGGGAGGGCTTGGGTCCAGGGGGCTCCTGTCAGCATTCAGACTCTCTGGACACCGACAGACCGAAAGCTGGGTTCCAGGGTCCAGCCCGTGTGGGGTGCAGGCCACCTGAGGTGTGTCCCTGGGAAGTGGAAGAAGCTCCTACCAGTGAAAAAGCCGAGATCTGCCCCTGGGAGGTGAATGAAGGAGCCACTGCGGAGGGACTGGGGAGCGGATCAACAGCGCAGAGAGAGAAAACTCCAGAAACGGGGAGACTCACCTCCCTGGGAGAAGAGGTATCAAAGCCAGAGGCAAAACTAAGTCAAAAGCAGGAAGCAATTTGTCCTTGGGAGGACAAGAACCTGAGGGAACCATCTGCTCAGGCCGACACCTCAGACTCGTGCAGCCGCAGGAGCAGCCAGGTGGATGTGAGTGATGAAGCAACAGAGAAGGGGGGCCTGAGACAAGACCCAAAGACAGACTCCCTCCGGGAAGATACAACCCAATCAGAAGCACTCACTCCTGAAGACGGGGAAAGAATGAGCAGTGCGCTACAGTCTGTCTCCTTCCCTCCCCCTGACAGCCCTGACCAACCTGGGGGCAGCCCCCAGACACTGGCCAGCGCCAGGGGCAGGGCCGCTGAGATATGTCCATGGGATGCACCTGAGCTGGACGCGTGTAACCCTGACATGGGTGCCAAGACTGAGATCTGTCCCTGGGAGGGGGCTGAAAGACTCCCTAAGAAAAATGCATCAAGACAGGATGGACAAGGGGACTCTCAAGAGAAGGGGAAGGCACCAGAAAAACCAGGGCCCAAAGGTGTGGCAGTCCAGAAAAAGCCAGAGACGGCAGACTCCGGGAAGCAGGAAGCTGTGCTTCCCCGGGAGAGTCCAGATTGCAGGGGTCTCTCTCCACGGCCAGGCCTACGTGCTGCCGACAGAGGCACAGGCGGTTCTGAGGCGGCAGGCAGTGTGGGAGGCAGGGCAGCAGAAGTGTGTCCCTGGGAAGCCGAAGCGCCACCCTCTGCCAAGAGAGCGGAGATCTGCCCTTGGGAGGCAAGAGAAGGCGCAGCAGAGGAAGGGGGACTGGGACAGGAGGTAGACAGAGAGTCACGTGGGCGAGGAGCGCTATCCCTTCAGGAGGTAGAAGCTGAAGGCCACTTTTCAAAAGCAGCTGCAGAACTTGGCAGAGAGCAGGAAGCAGTGTGCCCTTGGGAAGGCATGCAAGCAGGGGGGCTCCTCCCCCAGCCAGAGGCTCTGGACCCGGCCCAAGTCCAAGTCAGCCCTCACGCGGCAAGTGGTGCAGGGAGCAGGATGGCAGAGCTGTGTCAGTGGGAAGTCACAGATCCAGAAGGAAACGTAACAAAGGGCACCATGGCAGACATCTGTCCTTGGGAGGAAACCAGCCTCCAGGCTCTACCAGCAGCTCAGACAGAGGCTGTCCCTGCAGTCGCTGAGACATCACCATGCCTTTCAGTCCACAGACCCCTGCATAGCTTCCTTCCGGAAAGCAAGAGCCCCCGCCCTCAGGTGAGCAAGCCAGCCAGTACTTCTACTGTAGATGGTGTCAAAGAACCACAAGGACCTGCAGGCCTTGGGCCAAGGACTAGCTCAGTCCCCGAGCCACGTCACCAAGAACCCGAGGCCCAGCAGTCTGCCTCCAAAACTGAAGATGAAGAGCAGCTGGCTTGGGAAGCTGACAGCGGAGAGCTCGCCCCTCCAAGTGTCTATCCTTGGGACTGGGAGTGACACGGAGCTGGCTTTCCACAGCCACTGTGCTTCCCACAGCCTCGTCTTCCTGAACAGTGGAATCAAAAGACACCTGGCCACTTCCCCACCTAGGAAGGCCAAAGTCAAAAAAAAAAAAGAAAAGAAAAGAAAAGAAAAGAAAAGAAAAGAAAAGAAAAGAAAAGAAAAGAAAAGAAAAGAAAGAAAGAAAGAAAGAAAGAAAGAAAGAAAGAAAGAAAAACTGTCTAAGAAGGGTACAGCTCAGACCCCAGTGGGCAGTGCCACCCTCTCTTCTAATTTCTCTTCCTACTCGAGGAGAGCAAGACGGACCCTCTGCTTCTGAAGACTCCTCCCATCCCTCCCGAGTACTCAACACAAGCACCAGAGTTGACACCCGCTTGTGACGCCAACGTCAGCAGTGTCCAGGCTGCATTTTCTCTAGAATACGGAGACCCAATTCTTCTCCAGAGCCTATAAAGACCATTTTTCATGACTAAACTCAACACAAGGCATTGGCAACACAGGGACCATGGACCACAGAAGGCTATAAAGGTCACTCCAAGAAGTGCTAAGAAGCTACCTACTCAAGTTGCAAGACAAATTGGGGGAAAAGCTAAAAGGACTCAAAATAGGTGTCTGAGATGCCTTAAGGACCTTGTCATTTTGACTTCAAATCTCTTATTTCTGCTTTATTGCTCTTGTACCTGCCCTGCCTGACTGCTGAAGTAGAGACAATCAGAACAGCCCTGTCAACATCTGGTATCCAAAGCAATGCCAGAGACAGACACAGGAAAGCACTTCCCCAGGCCCTCCCCGTTGGGTCGAGGTGGGGCTCTCCCTTCCACACATCCTCAGCTCTCCTCCTCGAAAGCCCCGGCTCCTGCCAGTCTCACTGCTCACGTCACTGGCTCATGCTTCTCCTGGCCTCCCAGCGCTGTCTCAATGCAACTGGAGCCAGAGAGTCCCAGGAACCACTGCCAGTCAGTCTCCTTCCCACAGAAACCCAAGTAAGGAAGGCGGTCCTGGTCGCAGCCAGCACTCTATCTGCACCTGCCCTCAGAAGGGACGGTGCCAGGGGGCAGTGAGAAGCCTGAGGTGGGGAAGAGTGTCACATAAATACAAAGCTCCTTTCTCAGGGAGCTCTCTCTGTCGTAGCTCAGCTCTCTTGACAGTCAGTCTTGCGCAGGCAGAACTGGATCAGAGTGCTGGGATTAGATAACATCAGAGGGAAACAGGAAGCAGAACAACATGCAAAGAAGTCCCAGCACTGGCAGAGGAGAGCTGAGGATAGAAACAGGCAGGTTCCACATGGGAGAGCCGGGCAGAGGTACTTGAGAAAGCACTGAGACCCACTAACAGTTCAGATACTGATGTCATTCATGGGAAGGAAAAAAAAGGGAACAAGGGGACCAAACACCCAATGGGAAAACAGTGAGTCTGTGTATAAACACGGCAGTCAGGGGACTTCACAGAAAAGGAGCAGAGCAATGGAGTAACCCAATCTCCTTCAGGGACCAATGTCCTAGTTCTCACACCTAGGCCCTCCCACTTACCCGGCCCTGGGGCCCTGGGCTTTTGGGGCAGTTGGAAGTCTGCTGTTACAGCTCTGGGCTCTGGCTACTCAGCCTGCAGCCTCTGCCAACCACATGCCCCAGGGCAATCCCGGTGGGTCTGGTCTAACTGGGAACAGCAAGGCTTTCCCAACCCTGACTCTCGTGAAATAAACCACAGGGAGAAAAAATACAGAGTACTTTTCCTTGATCACTGCTGTTGGCTCTAGCTTATTCATAATAGTGGTTTTCCTTTTCAACATGTCTAAATAGCAACAGCACATAGACAAGGAAAGAACAATGCCTGCCCCAAAGCCCAAGGCACCAGCGCTGCAGGCTTCAGGGCATCGGGTAGTCTGGTGAATTCGAGACGACGGCCGACACTGCAGATGGTCTCTGCCCAGTCCTTCTAGCCAAGCCCTCACATCTGCAGCATCTGCTCAGCTGGATTCATTCCCGAGGGAAGATGAAAACTGCCCCTTTCCTTTGGCTCCCTGGTGGCAGCTATTGCTTAGGGGCTACTGAGGATTATCTAGGGACCCCCAAGACAGATCCAGGGGAGTGGGATGGAACAGCGTATTTCAAACACTGGTTTTGTATATTCAGAGAAATCAGTGCAACGTTTGCCCGCTAAGTGTCTTTTTGTTTATTTGTTTCTCTGCTTTGCTAACCTGCCAGGATTACCTTCCCTTCATCCATACTCTCAAGCTGTGGATTCTGATCAAAGCACTTCTCTTATCTGGCCTTAATCCAGGGCTCAGGCAAATAGGATATGACCAAACCTCACTTGGGCAGTAATGCTCCAAACTGATGTACACTTTAAGCCAAAAGGGTTGACAATAAGTAGCATGATAAGGGTTGCCATTTGGATTAACCAACCAGTGCTCTTTTTCCTAAGCACGTCCATTTTTGTTTCAATGGTCAGCATATCAGCTATAAAAACATCAGTTTTCCCTGGTGAGGCCTGGGTTGCTCGCTGCTTGGCTAAGGTGTGGCTATTGGGAGAATGAAGAGTCAAGTTATTTATTCTTGACCTGATTCCAGTTCCTTTGGATTCTACTATGAAAACAAGGTCAGAACAGATTAATCCTTACCTTAAGTGGCAAATTCCTTAAAAGAAAAATTCTAGGTTTGAAAATAAAATATGAGAATAAAGGTCCTGTTTTTAAAGAGAGGTCCAGCCTGCACTGATGAAAGCAATAGTATTAAAAGCCAAGCTTGGGGGCCAGCGCTGTGGTGTAGTGGGTAAAGTCTCTACCTGCAACATCGGCACCCCATCTGGGTACTGGTTCGAGCCTCAGCTGCTCCACTGCCAATTCAGCCCCCTGCTAGTGACCTGGGAAAGCAGCAGCAGATGGTCCCATCTGGGAGTCCTGCCACCCACATGGGGGACTCAGATGAAGCAGCTGGCTTCAGTCTGGCTCAGCCTACCCATTGCAGCCATTTGGGGAGTGAGCCAGGAGATGGAAGACCTCTCTCTCTCTCCCTGTCTGTAACTTTACCTCTCAAATAAATAAATAAAATCTTTTAAAAAAAATCTGTCTCTCCCTCTCTCTCTCTATTAACTCTGCTTTTCAAATAAATAAAAGAAACCTTAAAAAAAAAAAAAAAAAAAAGCCCGGCTTGTAAGCAGGGAACCAAGTCTCACAAATGTTGGCAGCTACTCCACAGCTCTGCCTCTCCCTACACTTCCTAGAGTCTCACCACTAAGAACACAAACCAAAGGCCAAGTGAGAAATAATTTCTTTGGATTTACATTCTTCTATGTGGTTCAGGGTGTCAGTGTGTGAGAAGAGACCCTCTTAAGTAATAACCTATTTTATACACGCTAATTATTCTTCCCAAGTTTGGACTTCCTGGGAGTCCGTCACATCACTCACCAGTAGGCCGCTTTCCACTCCTGCCATTTGAAGGCTGGTCTACTCCCAGCCTGAGCCAGGAGAAATGTACAGGACCCATCAACATTTGTCTGATACCTTTATGGTACTTTATTTCAAACTCTTATCCCGGCCCTAAGACTAGAAACAGGTTGCTGCCAGTTTGCTCCCACGGTCCCTGCTGCAGGAAGAACTGGCATCACTGGTCTCTGAAATACACTGCCTTTCATTACGAAGTCTGTGGTTTTGCATCCCAGCTACTCCTCATCCCAGCTACTCCTCATCCCAGCCTCCGCATGGCTGTGGCAAAGTCCATGCAGGACAGGAGAGAACAAGGAAGGCCTGGATGACTTCACAGTGTGCAGCAGCTGCTCACCCGTGTCTCACCCCAACAGTCCTTTTTGCCATTAGGCCAACTGAGGCTTATGGCCCTCTTGTTGTGTTTCTTCACAGTCTTCCTATGGTTTCAGCTGGGGACCAGGGATCATCACCGTCTGAAAGAGCAGGAGGCTGAGTTACCTATCAACCAAGCCCATGGCTTATTTAGAAGAGCCTCATCCCAGCCTCTACCCATCTACCATCACTAAGAGGCCCCTTCCCTGGGGTTGCCTCACCCCCTCTCACCACTAGGTGGAGCCCGAGAGGAGGGGTCCTAATGCCTCAGGTCTCAACCACCCACAAGCCTTACCTTAAGGATGGGCTGCTTCGGGGGCGCCCACGGGGGAACAATCTTGCCATGCATTCTCCAGCTGCCATAGGGGTTCATCAGGTGCTTCTCAAACACAACATATTCCAGGACGTCCTTGGGAACGTCTTCCTGTCCATACATCAACCTGCCAAAGCGGTCATAGATGGCCAGCGCCTGCAAGGGTGACAGCAAAGCTGACCTGTTAGTCTTTGTGGGTAGTTATTTTATTTTTGCCATACAACCATAACAGAGTTGTAATGGGCAGAAAAGAATCACCTCAGAAGTCGTAACCTAGGCAGAACTGATCACTTGCTGTCGCTTTACTCTTAGAGGTTCTTCAACGGGGTCGGGGAGGGAAGAGTCCAGACCAGGAAGGGTGGGAGAGACTGTCCACACACCATGTCTCGGTAGAACTACAGTTCAGTAGTTGGAAGGGGACAGAGGCAGAGCAAGAAAAGCCACAGCGAACCTCTCTTCAGAACCTAGTCCTGAGCAGCTATGCCCGGAACCCCAGAGGCAGAGGCTCAAGATGAGAGTAAAGAAAAGGGGGTGGGGCTGGTGCTGGGGCGCAGCAGGTTAAAGCCTTGGCCTGCAGTGCTGGCATCCCAGAGTCCCAGCTGCTCCACTTCCCATCCAGCTCTCTGCTATGGCCTGAAAAAGCAGTGGAGGAAGTCCTTAGGTGCCTGCCCCCGCATGGGGGGCCCGGAGGAAGCTCCTGGCTCCTGGCTTCGGATCAGCTCAGCTCTGACCATTGCAGCCATTTGGGGAGTAAACTAGCAGATGAAAGACCTCTCTTTCTCTGGCTCTACCTCTCTCTGTAGCTCTTTCAAATAAATACAATAAAATTTAAAAAGGAAAGGGAAAGGGAAAGGGAAAGGGAAAGGGAAAGGGAAAGGAAGGGAAGGGGAGAGGAAAGCAGACTGCTGGCTCACCTGCCGGGAGTGCATGCGCACAGTGACCTGGCCATACATGTTGCTCTGGTTCACCAAGCTTGAGCAGCGCACCTGAACCACCTGAGGGGGTTCTAAAGACTCCACGAAGCGCCAGCGGACAGTCTTATATTTGAGGTCCCAGACCATGTCCTAAGGGCAGAGAAACACAAGCTCAGCTGGGTTTTCCCCGCCCTGTAGGGAAGTGGGTGCCGCCGTGCCTGCTCTCACTCCCCGCAGTTCCGCAGCCAACAGGCAATGCTTCCCACCAAACGCTCTCCGATGCCTACTTCCTCTTGTCCCTTGAGCTACCACTTAAGCTCACCTCCCAACTCTCTTTCCATCTCAATCACAACTTAAAAACCTATCTACCTCTTTAAGGACTTTTCTCAAATCAATGAAAACCACATTTAAACTTTTTTTTTCTATTTATTTGAAAGGCAGAGAGCTTGATTGGAAGTGGAGCAGCCGGGTCCTGAACCAGCACCCATATGGGATGCCGGCCCTGCAGGTAGCGGCTTTACCTGCTATGCCACAGCACTGGCCCTTGAAGACCACATTTAAACTGCTGGCCTTCCCTGTGCACCATTATGTGTCCTGTGCACTTTCAAAATCTGCTCATTACCACGAGCACTTTGGTTGCCTGATGTTCCCTTTCTTCCCCTCACCTTTTAGCAGTAAAAGGTGGAATTTTACATCAACATGAAGGTTAAATTGCTGACTAGACTACCTCTACTTATCTCAGGTGAGAGAGAAGCTGAAATTCTCCTGATAGAAACTGAACTGATGGGGGCCAGCACTGTGGCACACTGGGTTAAGCTGACGCCCGCAGTGCCAGCATCCTATATGGGCACCAGTTCGAGTCCCAGCTGCTCCACTTCCAATGCAGCTTCTTGCTAGTGCACCTGGGAAAGCAGTGGAATATGGCCCAAGTGTTTGCAGGCCTTGCTCCCACAGGGGAAATCCAGATGAAGCTGCTGGCTCTCGTCTTCAGCCTGGCCTAGCCCTGGTCATTTAGCCATTTGGGGAGTGAATCAGCAAAATGAAATATATCTTTCTTTCTCTCACTCTTTCTCTGTAACTGCCTTTAAAACTCTGCCTTTTTTAAAAAAAGAAACTGAACTAATGATAGAAACTCAAGTTCTTATTCTTGACCCTCTAACTAGACCACAGCATCTCCATTCTTGGGAGTCCCCGAAAGCCCCTGGCACCCGTGACTACACAATATAAGCCTCAAGAACTCTTGTCTAAGCCTTCACTATAGCATGGGTGTAGCCCAATGTAGCCCACACCCTGATCTCAGGACCCCACTGTGGTTTCTGTCCTCCATGTTTAAGGACTCTTTCCTCATTTGCCATGGTCCTTACAAGAGTCTACGTCACATCATTATCACTCAGCTAAAAACAATGGACCTTAAGCTTGTACCTTTAATTTTCTGCACTTTCAAAAGTGACCTTTTTTAAGAAAAAATCAGAAACAATATTTAGGATCTGTCTACTCAGCATTCCACACTTCTAAGTAGGATGAGAACCCACCGGGAAACAGTGCTCTGTCACCAAGGTATGAAGCCGGTCGTGGTCTGAGCTAGAACAGAAAGAGATACACATCATCAACTCCTGCTTTTACGACATGTTGTAAGTTGGAAATAGCCCAGAAAGTGGAAAATGATTCATTTTTTCAAACATTTCCTGCACATCTACAATAAGGCACTATACTTAGTTCTGGGAACACAAAGATGGGCAATGCAATGTTTATTTACCAGAAAACTCTGAGATCTGAAAGCAGAGTAAAATTATGTTTGAATTTCAGAGGCAGAAAAAAGTTATCTGAAATTACTATACATCCTAGAGCTGGTCAAGAGATCTTTACTGGGGGCTGGCGTTGTGGCATAGTAGGTTAGGTCACTCCCTATGATGCTGGTATCCCAAACAGGCACTGGCTCGAGTCCCGGCTGCTCCACTCCCAATCTAGCTCCCTGCTAAGGTGCCTGGGAAAGATGACCAAAGTACTTGGACCTCTGCACCCACATGGGAGACCTGGATGAAACTCCTGGATCCTGGATTCAGCCTGGCCTAGGCCTGTCTGTCACAGCCATTTGAGAAGTGAACCAGTGGATGGAAGATTCTCTCCTTCTTTCTTTCCTCTTCTCTCTCTAACTCTGCCTTAGAAAACAAACAAATAAATCTTTTTTTTTTTTTTTTTTTAATAGAGACCTTACTGGGCCCTGGGGACCAATCTTTGCTCTAGGCTGGTATGGAGAACAAAGTCTAACACAAAGTACAATCAAAAACTCATCTTATCTCCTCTTACCCCTCACACAGTACCAACTTATGTGGCCCTGTATCTCACACTATTATTTTTGAACCCAGTTCAAAGAAAATCATCTGTCATTTCTGGTCCCTTCTCTTTCTTTCCCTCCTTCTTCGTTACTGCCAGAGTGGCCGTATCATGCTAACTCAGACAGACAGCAAAACTCTGCTCCTGGAAATAAAAGATTTTAGGGGTTCCTAGCTAAGACTACAGACTAGTTGCAGTTACACATGCATGACGTTTCCCCACAGTTTAATATTTTACAGATACATTAGCTCTTTGTCCCCTTCAAAAAACCTTGTTCTCGAACCCCAGGGCAGGTAAGAAGCTACTTCCAAGGTGTCTGCTTCCCTTCCACCTCTCATCCCAGTAGGAAAGATTCCAAGTCATTGCCCCAGCTGCAGGACTAGAGTACACGGAGTCTTGTTGACAACCATTGTGGTGACCTCCACGGCTGGGAGCTCTGAATGAACTCACTACTCTGGCCTTGAAATCTCCAGTAGAAATAAATTCCTTATTCTTTCTTTCTTTCTTTTTTTTTTTTTTTTTTTAAGATTTTATTTGCGGGGCCAGCACTGTGGTGTAGCGGGTAAAGCCACTGCCTGCAGTGCCAGCATCCCATATGGGTTCCGGTTCAAGTCCCAGCTGCTCCACTTCCAGTCCAGCTCTCTGCTATGGCCTGGGAAAACAGTGGAAGATGACCCAAGTCCTTGGGTCCTGCACCCACATGAGAGACCCGGAAGAAACTCCTGGCTCCAGGCTTTGGATCAGCACAGTTCCGGCCATTGCGGCCAGTTGGGGAGTGAACCAGTGGATGGAAGACTCTCTCTCTGTGTAACTCTGTCTTTCAAATAAATAAATAAATATTTTTTATAAAAACATTTTATTTGAAAATCAGAGTTATATATAGAGAGGAGAGACAGAGATCTTCCATTACTCTTTCACTCCCCAGATGGCCACAATGGTCAGGGTTGGGTCGGGTCAAAGCTAGGGGCCAGAAGCTTCTTTCAGGTCTCCCACATGGGTGAGAGGCCCAAACACTTGGGCCATCTTCGGCTACTTTTCCCAAGGCCATTAGCAGGGAGCTGGATTGGAAGTAGAGCAGCTGGGATTCGAACCAGTGCCCAAATGGGATGCTAGTATCACAGGCAGCAGCTTTACCACTGTAACACTGGCCCCCTTTTCTTTCTTTTTCTTTGTCGTCGTCTTCTTCTTCTTCTTTTTTTTTAGATTTATTTATTTATTTGAAAAGAAGAACATCAGAGAGAGAGAGAGAGAGAAAGAGAGATCCTCCATCAGCTGCTTTACTACCCAAATGGCCACTGCAGCCAGGTCTGAGGCAGGCCAAAGCCAGGAGCCAGAAACTCCATCCTGATCTCTTATATGGGCTCAAAGGCCCAAGCACTTGGCCATCTCCCATTGCTTTCCCAGGCACATTAGCAGAGAGCTGGATCAGGAGCAGAGTAGCTGGGACTCAAACTGGCACTTTGATATGGGATGCAGGCATCACAAGTAGAGGCTTAACTCATTGTATCACTATGCTGTCCCCAATAAATTCCATTTTCTGAACTCACTATTTTAAAACAGAACATACATTCAGAAATAAGAGGAAGACATCTGCTTCTACAGCATAATGCACTATCCTACTTTAAGCTATTAATGTTGGATACCATGTAATACAGACACATACACAGATACAGACATACAGATGTTCCTTTTTTTTTTTTTAATTTTTTGACAGGCAGAGTGGATAGTGAGAGAGAGAGACAGAGAGAAAGGCCTTCCTTTTGCCATTGGTTCACCCTCCAATGGCCGCCGCGGCCGGCGGATGCGCTGATCCAATGGCAGGAGCCAGGTACTTATCCTGGTCTCCCATGGAGTACAGGGCCAAGCACTTGGGCCATCCTCCACTGCATTCCCTGGCCACAGCAGAGAGCTGGCCTGGAAGAGGGGCAACCGGGACAGAATCCGGCGCCCCGATCGGGACTAGAACCCGGTGTGCCAGGGCCGCAAGGCAGAGGATTAGCCTAGTGAGCCGCGGCACCGGCCACAGATGTTCCTTAACTCACAATGAGGTTCTGTCCCAACAATGCCATCGTAAATGGAAAGTATGTTTATTTTTATCTATTTATTTTTATTTGACAGATAGAGTTAGACAGTGAGAGAGAGAGACAGAGAGAAAGGTCTTCCTTCCGTTGGTTCACCCCCAAAATGGCCGCTACGGCCGGAGCTACGCCGATCTGAAGCCAGGAACCAGGTGCTTCCTCCTGGTCTCCCATGTGGGTTCAGGGGCCCAAGCACTTGGGCCATCTTCCACTGCCTTCTGGGCCACAGCAGAGAGCTGGCCTGGAACAGGAGCAACCAGGACTAGAACCCGGCACCCATATGGGATGTTAGCACCGCAGGCAGAGGATTAACCAAGTGAGCCATGGTGCCAGCCCCAGAAAGTATGTTTAATACATTTGATCCACCAAATACCACAGCTTGGTCAAACAACACGCTATACATTACTGGGTGTGTACCCTTGGGATCATGTGGCTGACAGGGAGCTGTGGCTTGATCATGGGAGAGTATTGTATCATGTATTGCTAACCTAGGAAAAGATTAAAATTCAAAATTCGGCTGGCGCCGCAGCTCACTAGGCTAATCCTCCACCTTGCGGCGCTGGCACACCGGGTTCTAATCCCGATCGGGGCGCCGGATTCTGTCCCGGTTGCCCCTCTTCCAGGCCAGCTCTCTGCTGTGGCCCGGGAGTGCAGTGGAGGACGGCCCAAGTGCTTGGGCCCTGCACCCCATGGGAGACCAGGAGAAGCACCTGGCTCCTGCCATCGGATCGGCGCGGTGCGCCGGCCGCAGCGTGCCGGCCGCGGCGGCCATTGGAGGGTGAACCAACGGCAAATGGAAGACCTTTCTCTCTGTCTCTCTCTCACTGTCCACTCTGCCTGCCAAAAAAAAAAAAAAAAAAATTCAAAATTCAAAGTATGGTTTCTTATGTAGCATATCACTTTTGCACAACTGAAGAGTTGAACCTTTAGAAGTCAGGGATCACTTGTACACAATTTTTTTCTTAATACTTATTTTTATTTATTTGAAAAGCAGAGTTACAGAAAGGCAGAGAGCGAAAGAGAAGTCTTTCATCCACTGATTTACTCCCCAAATGGCTGCAATGGCCAGAGCTGGACCAATCCAAAGCCAGAAGCCAGGAGCTTCTTACAGGTTTCCCACATGGGTGCAGGAGCTCAAGGACTTGAGCCATCTTCTACTGCTTTCCCAGGCCGTAGTAGAGAGCTGGACGGGAAGTGCAGCAGCCAGGACTTGAACTGGTGCCCTTTTGGGATGCTGCCACTGCAGGCAGTGGCTTTACCCACTACGCCATAGCGCTGCCCCCCTACACAATTTTTGATTTATTTATTTGAGAGAGAAAGAGAGAGGGAGAAATAGATCATTCCCCAAATGCCCCAACAGTGGGGGCTAGGCCAAATCAAAGCCAGGAATCAAGAACTCCATCTGGGTCTTCCAGATGGGTGGCAGGAACCCAAGTACTTGGGCCATCATCTGCTGCCTCAGTGCCTTAGCAGGAAGCTAGTTCGGAAGCACAGAGTAGCTGGGACTTGGATGTGGCACCCCAAGCAGCAGCTTAACTTGCTGCACCACAGCGCTTCCTCCTGTACACACATTTTGAAATTGTCTAGCCTTGTTTGCAAGAAAGAAAGGTAATTCCCCAGATGACAGAAAGTTAGAAGCAACTAAAGCCAAAATGGAAAGACTGCAACCTGATACCACAACCACATAAGGGATGATTAAGGGACTCAGAAATAGAATCTCACGGCGAGGAGCTGAACTTTTCCTGAAACCTCGGACCCTGAAAGGGCAGGGAGTGGACTGGATACCCTGCGTAAGCTAGGACTCTCCAAAGGGACCTGCGCCTGCAGGAAAGGGAGACTAGGAAAACAGTCCACACTCCCACAGACAAAGCTTCTCTGTCTAGGGCTCTGAGGAAAAGGGAAAATAAAAACTGAAAAATTAAAGAAAGCCCTAAGCCCATATTACACTCAGATATGGACACAGAACTTATGATGTAGGAATTCCTGAGCTAAGAAATACACAGAAGGGGCCAGTGCTGTGGCACAGGAGGATAAGCCGCTGTCTGTAGCACTGTCATCCTATACGGGTGCTGGTTCGAGTCCTAGATGCTCTACTTTTGATCCAGCTCCCTAATAATGTGCCTGGGAAAGCAGTAGCAGATGGCTCTAAGTCCTTGGGGGCCCTGCACC